ACAGGTAAAGACTTCACCTTGACATTAAGTCTTAGTCGTGTCCAACTCTGGGGGGTGGTGCTCATCTTTCTTTCTAAGCCGGAGAGCCAGCGTTCTCCGTAGAAACCTCCAAGGTCATGTGGCCGGCATGACTGCATGGAGTGCCATTACCTTCCCACCGAAGCAGTACCTATTTACTCACATTTGCATGTTTTCAAATTGCTAGGTTGGCAGAAGCTGGGACTAGCAGTGGCAGCTCACCCTGCTCCTCAGATTTGAATTACTGACCTTTCAGTCAGCCAGTTCAGCAGCTCAGCAGTTTAACCCGTTGTGCCACCAGGGGCTTATATAATCCCTGTAGTTTGTGAAAGTTTGTGAAGCAGCTAAATAGGTGTGTCTACACCTTTTTTCCCCCTCAGGAAATGAAGACATAAAATAGAGCAAATGAGGGCCTAAATACCCTAAAGGCACCAGATTCTTTCTGATTTTGGAAGCTTCCCAGGGTCAGCCATGGTTAATGCTTGGATGGGAGACCATCAATAAACACCAAGTGCTGTAGGCTGTATTTCAGAGGAAGAAACTGGCAAAACTACCTCTGAATATTCCTCGCCTAAGAAAGCCCTACGAAATGCATGGGGTTTCCATAAGTCAACATGCAACTTGAACGCACATGCAAATACGCAAGCATGAATAAGAGTAAGAGAGAAAAGTTTGCTTATTCATTGCTTCTGTTTAACTATCTCTGACCTTTGTGATAGGTACATTATTATTATTATGTTAAATATTCCCCAGAGGAAAAAGAAATCTGTTGTCACATAAAAAGTAGCTCATACTTGGCAGTAAAATTCAAAGTGCACCTTGCAATGTTATTTTTTTATTGAAAGCTAAATATTGGAAGATATTTTGTAATAAGTATTTAGGGTACTTTATAAAAAGAAATCCTGTTGCAATTTACATTCTTTGCTGGACAAATCTTTATTTATTTTGGGTCTTTGTGTCTATTTTTGTCAAAATACTTCTATCTTACTTCCATCTGTGGCAACGCAATGGAAACCCTGCTGTATTGAGTTAGAGCTTATTCCAAGGTAAATGCACCTATTATTGGAGATTTAATAATGTAACTTTTAAAAGAGCCCTAAATCTGTTGTGTGTAAATTGCTAGTGACAGCAGGACTTCTGAAGTTTCCCATTCCATTCAAATATTTATGAACCTTACTAATTAGCAGCATTGATTTTCAGAGATCATATCTAAGCTGATGGATGCAATTACTTCCCAGCTTTATCTCTTCCCTGACTCTTAAGCCATGTGGTTTTTATTATTGTAATTATATTATTGTAATTAGTATTTCTTTCAAACTAATGGAACAAGTCCCATTTATGGTATCGAAGTGATTGTTATGGAGGATTAATGTTATCATAATTGAAAGCCTATGCAGATTTTTTTCAGCAAAGACCCATGAATTATACAATATGCTCCAAGTTGGTTTTGTTTATAGATCTTTGTGGAATTTTTCACTTCCAAAGTAGTATTGTGGTTTTTTTTTATCAGAATCCCTTCCTGTAGTGGTCACACAGGGGAAACTAGAAAGATTGTGAACTTGGGGAGTCTTTCTGCTTGCTTTAAGGTCAGACTATAGGCTGTGTTGTTTGTACTAGTTTCCAGAAGGATGTGAACGCTCTAAATTATCAAATGTGGAGAATCTGGAATTTTGCTCTATTAGAAAAGCTGGCTTTCTGCCTTTAAAAAGTTCATGGAAACACAAGATATGACACATTTGAGGCATTCCTCCTCCTCTTTTGTGTTGTTATTGTTGTTTATTTATTTTCCCCATTACTGGGAGCCAAGGTGGAATGTCAAAAGTGGAACAGATCAAAAACATACTTAAGTATAACCTATATCAAAGCACTCAAATATTTTTAAAAGCAATTGATTTATGAAATGACACCCATTAAATATTCACAGAAGAACAGAATATAAAACACAAGGGAATGATAGTCAATTATTTCAAAAAACCAGCTGGATTAAGTTTTCACTTAATGTCAGAAAAAGAACAAGGAGGAAACTTTTCTAACCTCTCTAGTAAGGGAGTTCCAAAGATTGGGAGCAGCCACCAAGAAAGCCCTCTCCCATGTAATCTGAGGGTGCATCTACCCCAGTGGTTCCCAATCTTTTTTTGACTAGGGCCTACTTTGACTGGGGACCACTTTGATCAGGGACCACTCTCCAACATTATTACCAAAAGTGGTGGGGCTGGTCAACTCTGCAGAAGGAAGTGGAAATAAAATAAATACATAAAGAGGAGGGAGGTTCGTGAACCAGATTTTCATTCTCACGATTCTTCTGGGCTGCAGCCCACAGGTTGGGGAACCGCTGATCTACCCTGTGGAATTAATACAGTTTGCCACCACTTCAAAGTGCATCTTGCCATGGTCAATGCTATGAAACACTGGGAGTTTAATTTGGTAGCGCACCAGCAATATTTGTAAAACTCCCATAGCACTGAGACATGGCAGTTTAAGTGCTGGCAAACTACATTCATTCTAATAATAATAATAATAATAATAATAATAATTTTCTTACCTGACTTTCCTTATAGCTCAAGGCAGGTTACAGAATAATTAAAACACATTAACATTGCAAAAACACTACAGATACACATATTAAAATATATTTCTATAAAATGCATATTAAAATACACAAAATAGGGATTAAACAAAGGACACCGTTAAAATTCATGCTTAAAGACTATCTTGGTATTCTACAGCGCAAATGCACCTTCAGTTTGCCTGAAAGAAGGCCTTTTCTTACAAAGACTTCTCTTCCAAGTTACACTTTCTCCATAACCCCAATAATAATGGGAAAATGTATTTTGACCATTACGCTAGATTTCTGGCAACATTTCAGAACCAAATTCCAGGAACTGTATGTGTGCTGTGACCTATATGTTCCTTTTCTTTTGTTCACTTTTTCCTGTTGAGCTCCATTGTCATTGTTCTAAACTTAGCTTAACTATGTTCTGTTAGCAGCCACAACTTCAAATAAACTTGGTGGGGAAATAAAAAAAATCATGGCACATTAAACACATAGAGTACAGCACTCTGGCTGCTTTCTGCTTACTCAAAGTAAGCACATGCAGCTTTTATCAAGATCAAAGCCAGTGTGCCTTGTCAGGGGAGTCTTAATCCTTCAGTAGGTACAGTCACCCTTTATGTGTTTCACACAATAACTCAACTTTTGGTTTCTCAGATGTTTTGGACTTCAACCTCTAGAAGCCCAAGCCAAAATAGTTAAATGGCAGGTATTTTGGAAGGTCATATTCCAAACAACCTGAGGAACAAAGGTTGAGGACCATTGCTTTAACATAGAGTGCTCATCAGCACCATGCAGTTTAGCCCACTGTAAATATGACCAGGAGAAACCCTGAATTGACACATTCAAAGCCATTCTTCAGACAGCCCAGAAGCCCATCAGCCCACATCTCACCTCTGTGTCACTGTCACCATTCCTAGCTGGTCATGGAACCTTTTCTGAGTTTCTGGCCATCGCCGGCACCTCTGCGGATATCAGAATGGAGTACCTGCATGACCAGCAAGAAGGATGGGGCACAATCGTCCTTCCTTCTTCCTTATCATGTAGGTGCCTTTGCTGATGTCCTTGTTATGAGGGGAAAGGATGGTGGCTGAAAAATGTGGTGCTAGGGGTACTGATTTATTGGTACATGGAGGCTTTATAGTCTCATGTGGTTGGTGTCCCTAAGATTTCCTCCATTAACCAAAAACTGATACTTATACACAGGCAAACTGCACATAAGACTTCTCCTCAGGTCACTCAGACAGGGTCTGCCAAGGGTCACCTTGGCAGCTTTCCCAAAACAAGGCTTCATAGCTGAAACGAACCAAAAGGTTGCTCTTTGAAACTTGTGTACAACTCTGTGGTTGGAACTGAACTTAATGTTTCCATTAACTTCTGGCTTGGGACCTTGTGAGAACTGTGGCACATTGCAGACTCCAGGGAGAGGTCAACTGGAGCATTTTATTTTCTTCTCCTAATCCAAGTTTTTCATTTACCTGTCAACCTCGAACTGTATTCTGGACCAAGAATCCCAAATTAATTAGACATGTTGGCACGCTAGATAAGAAAACAGTGCCTGTAACTCAAAGATTTGCACATATTCCCTTTCTCCTGGCCTCTTGTGCATACTTGTAAATGATTGGATCCTGCCAAATAGTATATTTTGAAGGAGCGAAATGCAAGAAAAGTATGGTTGGAGCAAATAACCTATATGTAAACTGAGTAACTCATAAATGCCGTGGAGACCCGTAGTTTTCTCCCACTTTTAACCTGAGTAGTAAATGTAGGATTGAGTGGATGTAACACAATGTGTCAGTTGTTCTTGGATTTAGGTCTGTCAGTATTATTTACATGATCTAAAAGTTAAAAAAAGTTCGGAATTAGCTTTACTGGGTATTCCAGCCTCCAAAATAGTCACATCAAAGCTACATGATTTACTGTGCAACTCTCATTTCTCTTTGGAATTTTTTAGTGGTATCGCTTTAGCCTGCATTGTCTAATAAAAGCAGCCCTATCCCTTTGCTAAGGTTTATTTTTTTCAGAGAAAAGATATGAGCCAGCAGTCCAGTACTGAGCCAGGCTCTTCCCTTGTGTCCTCAAAGACAGCTTCTTGTGATGATGGAGATCTATTAGTAACAACTTGCAGTACAAGTCCTGTGTGTAGATAAATGTGTTGGCAGTGAACAGGAACTTAAGGGGTGTTTGAGATGCAGTATACGTCTCTCCATTAGTTTCTAGAGCAGTGGAATTAAATCATTCTGTAAAGCAATGAAAGTGGAAGCTGAATTAAACCTTGATTTAACAGTGTGTGACAAATAAGGGTTGTTCTTCCAAGGTGATTTGTGAATATCATCCCATTTTTCTAAGAACAGATATAAAATTGTTTTGAAAATTGCATATTTTGTTTTGGAAATCCCTAATTCTAAATTATCCACTATTTGTCTTCCAGAGATCGAGGCGAAGGAGGCATGTGATTGGCTGCGGGCAGCTGGGTTTCCACAGTATGCACAACTTTATGAGGGTAAGCAAGACTGGTGCTTTCAGTGTTTTTCCTTTTTATTAAAAGAGTGAATTATACTAATTATAACTTTTTACATGTGTGCATTTTTATAAATTATGCCCTGGCCTCTTATCTAAAGATCTTCAAGCAGTGTATAATGAAATAAACATGATGAATTTAAATATATGTGAGCAGGAAAAATGATTTTATTAAACTGAGAAGCTACCATATATACTCGAGCCTAAGCCGGGTTTTTCGCCCCTTTTTTAGGCTAGAAAAGCTCCCCTCTGCTTCTATTGAGTCAAAGTTATTTATTATTTTACCCTGTTGTTGTTGTTGTTGTTGTTGTTGTTGTTGTTGTTGTTACATTAACATTATTTTACTCTATTATTATATTATTACATTTATTATTTTACTCTATTATTATTGCATTTATTATTTTCTCTATTATTGTCATTATTACATTTATTATTTTACTCTTATTATGATTATTATTATTTTATTATTATTGGAAGGCTACATAAGCACATTTACATTGAAGAAGGTTATAATAATGATTTAATCAGACTTGGCCAGTCTTACCTTAAATTACAGTTTTATGTAAATATTAAAAACCATTTGATGCTTCAATTAATGTAATTTTATTGGTATCTATTTTTATTTTGAAATTTACCAGTAGCTGCTGCATTTTCCACCCTTGGCTTATACTCAAGTCAATACGTTTTCCCTGTTTTTTGTGGAAAAATTAGGTCCTTCGGTTTATATTCAGGTCAGCTTATACTCAAGTATATACGTAAATGAAAACAAACAAAGAACAAGTAAAATAGAAAACTAATTACATGTGTGAATGTATAAAACCAGTTGGGTCCAAAAGGCTTTTTAAACAACCATGTTTTCACCCAATGCCAGAATAACAGCAAAGTAGATGCCAATTAGGCATCTCAGGGGAGGGTATTCCAATACTGAGATGCCACAGCAGAGAAGGTCCTGTCCCATGTCATATAATCATAGAATCATTGTGTTGGAAGAGATTTCGTGGTCCATCCAGTCTAACCTCCTGCCAACACCATATTATCCTGCAACAGCATATTGCCAACTGATGGGCTCCTCCAGCAGAACTCATACCTTAGGCAAGGCATATGTAGGGAGAGGTGTTCATTCAAATACCAAGATCCCAAGATATTTAGGGTTTACAATACCATTATCAGAACCCTAATTTCAGAACAATACAGCAAGCATATTGGCAGAGTGTGGATCATAGTGATAGATAAGAGATGGCCTTAAACATTCCTTTGTGTCCTGTTCATGACAAAAATGGCTTCTTGAATTGTTCTAAATCTGAAGCAAACATACTTACTATATTTCTTCAATTCTAAGATGCCCCCAGTGGTGCAGCGGGTTAAACCACTGAGCTGCTGAACTTGCTGACCAAAAGGTTGGTGATTCAGATCCAGGGAGTGGGGTGAGCTACCACTGCTAGTCCCAGGTTCTACCAACCTAGCAGTTTGAAAACATGCAAATGTGAGTAGATCAATAGGTACTACTTCGGAGGGAAGGTAACGGCACTCCATGGAGTCATGCTGGCTACATGACCTTGGAGGCATCAACGGACAATGCCGGCTCTTCGGCTTAGAAATTGAGGTGACCCCCCGCCCCAGAGTTGGACACAACTAGACTTCATGTCAAGGGGAAAACTTGACCTTTACTTTAAGTTGCACTTTTCCCGCCTATATACATCTTAGAAACACAGATGTATCTTATGTATTTTTCTGTTGGCTGTGGCACTGAAATTAGGGTGCAGCTCACAACCCAATAAGTAATTCTGGACTTCTGAATTATGATGAAGTCTTATCCTGTCATGCAATCTCCTTTTGTTCTGTTACTCAATATCAGGGATGGGGAAACCACTGACAGTAGTACATCCACATTTATAGGTGTTAGGAGGGCAGGACCCCCATGAAACTGGGAAAACTAGCACTCTTCGGAAAAGATGGCTAAATATTTTGTAAAACTGCAACTCTTATGATTCCATAATATTGAGCCAAGGCAGTTAAAATGATGTCAAACTACAATAATTCTACAGTGTAGATGTACCCCCAGAATGATTAGCTCAAATCATCTAGTAGGCCATCCAGTTAGGTCACCAGTGACTAGAATCTCACTTCATTGTCCTCAGTCTTTTACTAACCTAGGTTGCCATTACTATATGAGAATTGGTGGGGACGAGAGACAGGGCCTTCTCAGCAGGGACCCCCCGTCTGTGGAACTCTCCCCCTAAGGATATCAGGTTGGCCACCTCCCTCCTGTCCTTTAGAAGACAACTGAAGACTTGGCTCTGGGGCCAGGCATTCGATTAAAGGCCAGCGGCAATAGGAAAAGGAAATTTGGATTCCCCCGGCTTGGCTTGGCTTTAACTGGCACGTTAATCTATTCATTTATTGTTGTATAATGTTTTAAAATGATTTTATTGTGAATTGTAATTTTTATGGTATTTATGCTGTTAGCATCCTCTGATGCTCATGTGAGGCCACGCTGAGTCCCCCTTGTGGGGAGAAGAGAGGGATATAAATATATGAAGTAAATAAATAAATAAATAATCAGCTTTTATTTCCTGGGATGGTATAGGAATTTATAGGGATGAAATACTTCCCTGGAAAAAAGGCTGGTATTAGTTAATATTGATGTTATGTTTTATGGGAAAGTCTAAGTAGATGTTTGATTGGGTTTCCAGGTGTAAATGCACTCCAGAGCAATTCAGATCCCTTCTACACTGCCCTGTATCCCAGGATCCGATCCCAGATTATATGGCAGTGGAGACTCATATAATCCAGCTCAAAGCAGATAATCTGGGATCAGTTCCTGGGATATAGGGCAGTGTAGAAGGGACCTCAGAGGCTTTCTCCCTGTTGATTAGGAAAGGATGGCATCTCACCTCATCAAAGCTGGAAGTTACAGCTGCATAGCGAGCCACGATTATTTGGTCTTGGAAGCTGCAGCAGTGCTAAGTAGGTGTTTCTGATGAATGCTTGAGATGGGCTTTAATTTGCAGCTGCATTGGCAAGAGGAGACAATAATAGCACAAACAGAGACAACACTTGGCAACTCTTCTGTTTATCTGTTTAGGGACTGAGTTTCCTTTCATTATGTTCTCCACATTTGGAGCTGACACCATGCCAAAAAAAGTCCTTTTTGAAAAGAAATTGTTTTAAAACATCTCTCACTGGGATAGGTCTAACTATTGTCCGTTCGCTTTGTTTTAAATCCTGTATTTATACACTTTGGTTTCTATTGCTCTTCCCAGGTACAGAAAGACTTAAGAAGCTTTTCTCTAATACAAACATGGACACACAATTAGAACCTTGTGCATATATGTGCACACACACACCTTTCCTCGCTGCCTTTAGATCTAATCATAATAAATGTTTGAACTATGAATTTGTAGATCAGTAATTAAGATTATTTCTAATTTAAGGTAGACCGGAATGGCTTATGACTCACCTAGGCAAAGATGAATTTATGGCTTCCCGAGTCCACCTTAATGAGGCACTGTAAATAGGAAGTTTATCAAGTATCTGTTCGCATTCCCTTTGTCTTTGGTTACTTGCATTGATTGTGCAGAACATTTGAAAGGTAAAAATGTATTAGTGAGAGATTATATACTTTTTGTCTGGATTGTTATACAGTTCAAGTCTCCCTTATCCGAAACACTTGGGTAGTATTTCGTTTGGGAGGAGGTGGGTTTTGAGACAAATTGGGGGATGGGTTCCAGGTCCAAACATAAAATTAATTCATGTTTCATATACGTCTTATACACAATCTGAAGGTAATTTTGCATGAAATATTTCAATCATTTTGTTCCTGAAGCAAAGGTTATCAGACCATCAGAAAGCAAGCAAAGGTGTTACTTAATTGATCCGCCGATGCAGACAGTTTTCGATTTTGGGAATATTTCAGATTTGGGTCATTCCATGCCAAGAGGTCTAAATTTTTAAAAAGTTCCCACCATCATTGGCTCTAAACTTTGGTAGATTTTACCATTTGCGCTGCAAGTGCCAAATTTGAAGAGATCCTGCAAGGCAGTTATAGATAGTTAAAAATCTGGTAGTATTGTGTCCAACCCAAGCATAATGCTTGGTTAAAATTTCAAGTCCATATCTTTGTTTGCATGGAAATTGTTGCAATCTGAATACTGGTTAAATTTGTCACAACACATTTTGATGCACACTTAGAATCAACTTGTTTGACTGGATTTTGCATCCATAATGTTAAAATTAATTTCATCAGAATCAGCAGGGGACACACTGTTCAGGATTTCAATTTATTAGCCATTCTTATAGATTTAGTTTCAATTTCGTTAGAGCCCAAAATGGCATTAACTATTCTTTAGATACGGGGGTCTAGAACAGCAAGTATTGCAGTTAGAGACCTCAAATTCTGGGAAAGTTAGTTTAACACCTGACAGGCACTACATTTAACATTTGAACAAAATTGGAGAAAATGATGGTGGGAACGTTCAGACCACGTGGCATAGAATGACCCATTTCAGAATTTTGTGGGTGGATATAGATCAAGTTTTCTCAAAGGCTAACAGGCAAGGCAGCTTACTTATTATTTATATATTTACAATATTTATATCCCGCCCTTCTCACCCCGCAGGGCACTCAGGGCAGATCACAATGCACATATACATGGCAAACATTCAATGCCATAGACATACAACATACTGTTTATACTCGAGTATAAACCTAGTTTTTCAGCCCTTTTTTTAGGCTGAAAATGTCCCCCTTGGCCTATACTCAAGTCAAGGTTATTTATTATTTTATTCTGTTGTTGTTGTTGTTGTTGTTATTATTATTATTATTATTACATTTATTATTTTACACTATTCATTATTACTATATTTACCATTTTACTCTATTATTATTATTATTACATTTATTATTTTACTTTATTATTGTTGTTATTATTACATTTGTTGTTTTACTCTATTATTGTTATTATTGCATTTATTATTTTACTATATTATTGGAATGATGCATAAGCACATTTACATTGAAGAAGGTGAGAATAATGGTTTAATTAAAGTTGGACAGTCTTATCTTATATTACAATTCTATGTAAATATTCAAAAGCATTTAATCTACTGATTCTTCAATTAATGTAATTGTATTGGTATCTATGATTATTTTGAAATTGACCGGTAGCTGCTGCATTTCCCACCCTCAGCTTATACTCAAGTCAATACATTTTCCCAGTTTTTTTATAGTAAAATTAGGTGCCTCGGCTTATATTCGGGTCGGCTTATATTCGAGTATATACGGTATATAGACAGACACACAGAGGCTATCTAACTTTCTAGCTTCATGAGGGTATGCTTTGAATTCTGGCTACCGGGGGAGCTGTCGCTTCACCGTCCACTTGTGACACCAATGGAGTACTTCCTCTTTCTTTTGCACACTGCTGGAGAGTTTTATGGTGTAATAAATTACTTAAGTTGGCCTCCCCGCATAAGCGGTACCTATATTTCCTACTTGACAGAGGCAGCAGTCTTTCAGGCAAGCTAGACAAATGATTGGGAGCTTACTCCGACCTGGGGTGGCTTTGAATCCTGACTTTTCGGTCAGTAGTGATTTTAATTCAGCTGACTCCCAACCAGCTGCACCACAACCCGGTCCTGATGCATAGTTGGGTTCATTTACATATTAAACATCTGTGCTTTTATTTCCATGGAATCATAGATTTGTAGAATTGGAAGGAACCCCAAGAATCATCTATAGGGGTTCCCAGTTTGAAAATTTCCTGAGCCTCGTGGTACTGGGGCACTCTGAGACTTAAACTGTCAATCCCTAAACTGCCAATACTACGTTTCCATGGAATGAAACTATGGCAGTTAAAGTGGAATAAGAGCACTTTAATTGAGTAATGTGAATGGCCCCCTTATTCTTTTCCTGCCCCTTGCCCCCAATGGAAATGTCAAGAGGCTTCCTCACATATTGAGTCATCTTCTGTTCAGTTCATGATTCCCAACAGGATGTCAGCCCTAGTCTGTTAAAAATGTCTCTTCACTGAATGATGTTTTCTTTCTTCTCTTGGTTGCTTTCCAGCGCTGGTGGAATTGTTAACCTTTTGCCTAAATGCTGTGTTCTGCAAACTTTTGGAAAGTGTCCTCCAAACATGAGTGCTTTTTTAAAAAGTTCAGATTGGATTTTCACAGCTCACGCCATTGAGATTTTGGCTCCTGCGCTCTCCCTTTCGTCCCTTTCCTTCCTGCTCCACATGGGAAATTTCAGCCGCCAGCCCTGTGTGTGCAAGGTTCCTTATGTGAAACAAAGCTGCTGTCACACATCCAAGGCGGTACGAAGGGAAATTTATCTTGTAGGAGCCGGTTCTTTGTATCTGATTTCTTGGAGACAGATGGTTGCTTTGAAGTAAGTGTCTTTGAGACTAGCCTTCTTTCTGATTGCCTATCCATCTTAATTCCTGCAGATCTTATATTTCCCATTGACATTGCGTCAGTCAAGAGAGAGCATGACTTTCTGGACAGAGATGCCATTGAAGCCTTGTGCAGGTATGTGAGAAAGGACTACTTTGGGGAAGTGATACTAAAAGTGGACTAAGGAAGAGAGTTTTTTCTGAGTGTTTATTACCCAGTCAGCTAATTCCAGTGGGTTAAACCCTTGTGCCAGCAGGACTGCTGATCAAAAGGTCGGCGGTTCGAATCTGGGGAGTAGTGTGAGCTCCCATCTGTCAGCTCCAGCTTCTCATGTGGGGACATGAGAGAAATCTCCCGCAGGATGGTTAAACACCAGGGCATCCCTTGGCCAACATCTTTCTCACACCAGAAGCAACTTGCAGTTTCTCAAGTTGCTCCTGACTCAAAAAATAATTCCAAATATTCTTACTAATGCAAAAACTATATTATTCAGAAAATATTTGTCTTTACAAAGTTGGCTTTGAGGGATGTTGCAGCGGTGATGACAATCCTGCTCCCCCAATGGTGGAGACCTGCCTTAAACCACATGCATTTATATAGCAAGTTGGAGCATCTTTTGCCTTTTCCACTGAAGCAGCAACTATTTATCTACTCACATTTGCATGTTTTCAAACTGCTAGGTTGGCAGGAGCTGGGGCAACAGCAGGAGCTCAACCTGTCACACAGATTCGAACAGCTGACCTTGAGTTCAGCAGCACATGAGTTTAACCAAATGTGCCACCACAGCCTAATAAAATGTCTAATTAAAAGATTGAATCTAATTAAAAGATCGAATCACTGCAGTTCTAACATTTTATGATCAATGTTCATCATTCATGAGTTTAAGAGGGTATTTTTAACTTTATTAATGAAGTATGCCATGTTTGTCAATCAAACCAATCATCGGACTGGGGAACCTTTTAAAAATAACTGAAAAAGTGGGACAGCAAAGGATTATTTGGAACAGCCTCTTCCAAATCAGGACAGGTGGAGGAAATGAGATTCGGTATATTGAAATTTAAAGGGCTCATTTTAGGCCCCATCTACTCTGTCCTTATATCCCAGGATCTGATCACAGATTATCTTCTTATCCCAGATTATATGACAGTGGAGACTCATACAATCCAGTTCAAAGCTGAAAACCTGAGATCAGACCCTGGGATGTAAGGACAGTGTAGAAGGGGGCATAGAAATACCTCTTGATTCACAATAGGAAAAAAAAAAACCCAACAACTTAACATTCCTTTAGACTTAGAGGGTGGTTAGTTTAGATCAATTTTTTTTTTTGCCACTGCTTGTTTGTTGCTGTTTTTTCCAACTTTGCCTGGGGAAAGGGAGTAAAGTACTCCATGGGATTTTTGGGATGGGAGTAGTCCTGGAATATATTGCCATTTCCTTTGAAGTTTTATGTGGATCGGTACTCTTATTTTAAAGAGGGTATCTGAGAAGGAAGCAGCACATCCTCTATCTCCCCCAGGCAATTATTTGCAGGGTAAGGTAACTTTCCAGAGCAAGAGGGGAGGGATCAAGGTGAGGGCTAAGTATTTTATTCATCACTCCTTTGACACACCTTTTTCTTCAGGTGTCAAACCAAGTCGAAATTGGTTTAGTGGGGCTCATAATGAAAAACTAATATTTGTTGAGCAGTAGTGCAGCTACAGGGGGGCAAAGCGAGGGCAAGCCCCTATTCCATAAAAACTCTACCACAGTAAATGAAATTTTCCTTCAGTCCCCAAGTATCTAGCATTGCAGTAATTCTTCAATTGAGCATTTAGAAGTACAGTGGAGCTTCCAAAGAAAAGAGACAGGCAAAGTTACTCAGGCCCCATTCACACAGATTAATAAAATCCCACATTATCTGCTTGAGCTGAATAATAATAATAATAATAATAATAATAATAATAATAATAATAAATCTTCTTTATTTATATCCCGCCACTATCTCCCTGAAGTAAAAAGCTGGGAAGTAAAAAGTTACAGTTAAGAGCAAAGAAAAATTTACACTTGTGTTGATAAGATTATAACTGTTACAAATGTCTTCTAGAAAGTAACTTTCCTAGATTGAGATTTGTTAACAGCCAATTCATTCATGTTGGAATTATTCAGGAGCCAAATCTTATTTTTGACGGATCATTTTGCAATTAAGAATAATAATAGTCATAACTTTACTTATGACCCGCCCTATCTCCCTGAGGAGACTCAGGGCCGTTTCCAAACAAAGTGGCAAACATTCAATGCCATAATGAAAGCAGAACAAGAAACAAGCCAAATCAAACAATAAGTAAAACAACAATTCTTGTGCTCAGTGGTGATGCTTTGATGAGCATTGTTTAATGCACTTAAAAACATAAGCCCCATTGAAATTAGTGGAGTGCATTTTGGGGGAAGGCATATATAGTGTTGGGGTTCTATTGGGAATTTATTTCTTTAGACTCTCGCTTTAGCAGAATCAATTCTTTTTTTCAACCTAAGCATCTCCTACAATTGTAGGGGTGATATGGAAACATGATGTATATATTCTATATTCATTTTATCATATTTATTTACTGCATTGTTATATTTTTTTTACTTAACTTACTATATATAGAGTGTAATCAACTTTTATGAAGTCTTTTTGTTTGGTTTGGTGTTGTGATATTGCCTAAAGGCTAATCAATAACATTTACTACTACTACTACTACTACTATTACAAGGAAATTATTTTCCTATGTACTTTATTTTTTAACAAAATTTGTTATGTGTCTCTCCATTCAATTCCACTGTTATAGCTACTTCTGAATTTCACTGGTGGTTGTGAGTGCCTAAAACCTATGTGGAGGCTTATGTTATAAAACTTATTCACCATGTGTACACCCACACAGACACATGTTTGTGTATATAGGCAGTTCTCAAGTTACGAACAAGATAGGTTCTGTAGGTTTGTTCTTAAATCGAATTTGTAAGTTGGAACAGGTACATTTTTCAGTGTAATTCCATATATATATATATATATATAAACACACACACACACACACACACACTGGATAGCATATATTGGATAGCACATATGCCTGTGCTCATGTTCAGAAAAATTCACCGTACTTTCTGTCCCTATTATTATTGGATTTTGAAAATTTTGGTTTGTTGTGGAAACAAGGATTGGTGAAAAAACTTCAGTTGAGACACCTTTTTCCCATGATAATAACTCTTTCAGGAGTGAATTACCCTTCGTAGGGGTAGATTTCTCTCACTTCCTGTTGTCTCACCCCCATTCTTAACTATGAGCCATTTGTAAGTCGGGTGTTTGTAACTCAGGGACCGCCTGGTTATATGTAGATATATCTCCTTTTTGCCTTGTCTTTTATTCGTGTTGTATTTTAAAATGGTCATATGACTGGTCAAATAAATAATTTATTATTATTATTATTATTATTATTATTAAACATATTGGGGCCTAAAATAGGACTTTCAACATCTACTCAGGATTAAGTCCCATTTATGTCAGCAGTGCTTCCTTCTAAGTAGATGTACTTAAGATTGTGTTAGTACCCATTTTGCTATACCATAACACTTTTTCAGGGGGAAAACTTCCATAATATTTTGCATTCATCTTTCATTCTAAATGCTTCTTTTGTTTAGTGCTACAGAAAAAAAATCTTGCCTTTCTGTGAAGTGTGATAGTGTGTGAATTTTATTTTCAAAGACACCAGAGTGGAAAAACGGTTTTCACAGTCTGCACACTTTATCTGCCTCAGCTGCTCAAGGGTCTTTTTTGAAAGAAGGGGCTTGCAGATAATCTTCTTGAAATCAAAGACATTCTTATCAGGGCTGGCTAGAAATGTGTTTTCTGTGATAGATCAGAGTAGAGGGTTGGTTAAATGCACAGGTTGAAACTAGATAACACTGAATAGAGAGACCAATGTTATGAATGTTTATGTAAAACAAATCTCACGATTCAAACTGTCTATGTGAGATCTTTTTAAAAAAAGAATATACAAGTAATTCACTCATATTTTAACTGTAACTTAAAGTTAATCCACAAAAATGTATTTGCTGTGAAGTTTGAGAGGAATGAAGCTTATTTTCTCGTTCTCAGTGTGTGAGAATTCTGCAGCTCTTCATATATTGGACTACAAATTCCATCCACACTAGTCAGGTCAGCCAGTGTTGATGAATGTGGTGAGTTGCAATCCAGCAACAATAGGATTCCCACCACTTCTGTGAATCACACGAATATGTTTGGATTCTCAGAACAAGCTCCCATAGAAATTGAATCTCTTGAATGAAGGGGCCTACAGATATGAAATGAAAGACATTCTTATCAGGCTGTCTGAAAATATGTTTTCTGTGACAGATCAGAGTGGTGGGCTGTTACATGCAACAGGTTGTACTATCAGAAGACATTTCCCCCCAGGATACATTCTGTCCCTTTTGATCCTTTCAAGTTAAAAATGAAACAACTGTACCAAGAATTCCTGTGTTGGTTAGTGTGTAGGACTTTGTGAGATATAAATACAGTGAGAGCCCCATATCAGTGATGATATATTCCTACCTAGACTGCAGATACCTAATAAATAATAATAATACAAAATCCAGCATACATATTTTGTTTGCTATGACATACTGTGTTTTTGTGCCAGTAAAATAATAATAATAATAATCATAATAATAATAATAAGTGTAGACTCTGTAAGGAAGCAGATGAAATGATAGATCACATCCTCAGCTGCTTCAAGAAGATCGCGCAGACAGACTATAAGCAGAGACATAACACCGTTGCTCAGATAATGCATTGAAACTTGTGCCACAAATACCATCGGCCTGCGACAAAGAACTGTTAGGATCACAAGCCTGAAAAAGTTATAGAAAATGAACTACTCTGGGACGTCTGAATTCAGACTGACAGAGTTTTGGAGCACAATACTCCTGACCTCACAATTGTGTTAAAAAAACCAGCAGGATTGAAAAGAAACAATTGGAAAAGCTGACACAATATGAGGATTTAAAGATCGAACTGCAAAGACTCTGGCACAAGCCAGTCAAGGTGGTCCCAGTGGTGATCGGCACACTGGGTGCAGTGCCTCAAGACCTTGGACTGCACTTAAACATAATCGGCGCTGACAGAATTACCACCTGTCAGCTGCAAAAGGTCACCCTACTCGGATTTGCACACATTATTCACTGATACATCACACAGTCCTAGACACTTGGGAAGTGTTCGACGTGATCCAATACAACAACCAGCATAGTGATCTTGTTTTCTATGGATTAATCTTGTTGAGTTTATAATGATGATGATTATTATTATTATTTATTTATTTATTTATTTATATCCCCCCCCCCCATCTCCCCAGGGGGACTCAGGGCAGATTCCAACACACAAAAAGCAAGCATTCAATGCCTCCATAGAACAAACAAGTACTGACATAATAATCCCAGAAAAAAAACCCACGTATGAAAACCATATTAGAACCTAACATCAATAAATTAAACAAAACATAATCAGAGAAAAATTATTATATAATGACATAAAATCTGAACATAAAACGTCCACATTGATTTACAGAACCCAACTAAAGTTCACAAAGTTATATGCACTAGTTGTGTGGCCAGTGACTAGCAGAGCCCAGATACGATAATAGTTCTCAACCAGAGGTCCGATAGTAGTTTCTCATTGTCATACCATGAATGTAGCTTTAAATCACCCGATTTCCAGTCTCATCATAACATACAGTTGCATTAGAGTACTTAGATATTCTATCCAGGAATTCAATAGTCCCTCCAGTGCAACTCTGTAGTAACTTCTGAGGGAGGACCTAAAAAATTCCTTGACACAATTTTTCTCCAGATGCTGATAAGTGGAACCATAGATATGGATTCCACGGTTACAGGAGCTTTGCTGTATACTTATTCCTATAATCAGATAATGCAAGGTCTCATGTTTCAATTATTCATTTACTGAACATGGAAAAGTTACTTTTTGGAGGCGGATTCTGCAAGTGATCTTTTCCAGTTCTGCACATACATGTGTATAGCTGCCAAAAATGCCTGGTGAAGTCTTTCTAGTGTCCAGCTCCTGTGTTATAGGAATCACCTCTGTTTCACAGGCATGTGAAAGCCTTGTGAAAGGGGGTAATTGTCTTTAGTGTACATTTGTAAACTTTCCTATGTATATCATTGTATTTTCTTACGAAGAAGCAAGGAAAATATTTTAGTCTTTGCAACCAGCTCTGCCCACCTTGATAAATTATTGTGATTTTATATTGCTTCTTGTGTTTCTCTTGTAATGTTTATTATTATTATTATTATTATTATTATTATTATTATTATTATATTGATGTATTATTTTATATTGTATATTTGCTTTCTTGTAATTGTTGGGCTTGGCCTCATGTAAGCTGCCCCAAGTCCCCTTGGGGAGATGGTGGCGGGGTATAAATAAAGTTGTTGTTGTTGTTGTTGTTGTTGTTATTATTATTATTAAGGAAAACAACAAATCTAACACAGAGGTAAAAAATAGAAGCAAAATAAACCCTTGAGGCCAAATTGTGTTGTGTTATGATCATAAGCCGTTGGCTCATGTGCTCCCCTTCTTCTTTCCTGAAGGAAAATAGAGGAAACCTTCATCCATCCTTTTCTTAATCATCTTCTGTTGTGATGTCCAGATCCTAAACTGTGATTAGTTATCATTGTAGTCTAGAGAAACACGCTACCTTACTAAACTACAACCTTTATTAAACCTTAGCTAAGACTAATTACAATTTGTTTGAATTCAGATATTAAAACCTAAGGCAGTTAAATGTGAAAGCAAACTGATGAAATGAAAATAAATCCAATCTTATTTGGTACAATTAAAACAAATTAGCTACTTATGGTGTTTAAGTGATGCTTCTGTCAGGTAGTATTTCTATTCTATATTTAATAATACTAATGTTGAGCTAGGTTGAACATCTCTCTTCTGACCAAAAACTTCGCCTCTCCTGAAGTTATTTAAAAGATTCCCATCGTCATCCACTAAGCTGGCTGTAGGATATTGTTATTCGTACTTATATGCCTAGAATGGATATTCGTCTTACATGTTAAATGTATATTCTGTAAAGCGTATACTTTAATAAAAACATCCATCCTTTTAGAAATCACACCAGTTTAATGCTTGTGTGGTATGCAACAATGAGAAAAGACTGAGAGCAACTATACAACTGTGGTGGAGGGGAGCATTTCTATTTTCTTTCTTTTGGAAAGATTATAAGAGTTGTCCTGGGGCTATAATGAAAGTAATTATATTACCCACAGAAAATAACAGAATAGGCACCTGATGTGTGGAAAATTAGTTTTCTTCTTTGCAGTTTCAGTTTGGTAAACTTGGAATATAATGAAAGAAATCCGCAGTAGGTTGTACCGTGTGAATAAATTTTCTAGTTGAAAGTATTTTCCTTCTTTTCCAGTACGCTCAGAAACAATAACACTCTCACAACTTTCACAAATGCACATATAGTACATTAATTTTCATCTTCTCTTACAATTAGTCTTCTCGTCATTTTAAATCACTATAGATTCTGGCAAAATTATATTGGTGTAGTAAGGACCTGCAACAAAACATTGCTGTGTTGGAGTTCACTTTTTAGGGTGCCAGCTAACCATGCCCTTTTCCAGAAGTGACCTCCTCCAGAATACAGTCAGCCCTCCACATTTGCAGGACTTAAGCCACAGGACCCCTGTGAAAGTGAAAAAATGTGAATAAACAATTTTTTTTACTGGAGAGAAATCCTTTCTAGGAATTTCCAACATGATTCTGTAGTCACCTTCCACTGGAAACAGACCGTAGACTTACAGTTGAAGACCTACAGGGTCCTAAAGAAATGTTCATTTTAGAAATCTCTAGGTCTTCCAGCATGATTGGAAGACTTTGACCACAATACAGAAGGCACTAGAGATTCCTAGAGAGAGCATATTTAATCCAATTCATGAAAAATCAAAACTGCAAATGTGGAGGGATGCCGTACCTCCATTCTCTTTTCTCCTTCTCCATTCCCCTTACCATCATATTGACCCAGAATCATGGGTTTAGATGTGGGTGTGGTCATTTGTTTATAGATGATAGAAACACTTTTCATTAAGATACATAAGTTCTTGGAATACGCTAGTTTAAGAACACAATAGAGCGTGACCAGAGGGCTATCCATATTGTGTTCTGTGAGTGCCCAGCTATTTATATGCATATAAAGTATCCATTTTGGATACACATGGGATATGTGTGTGAATAGCTGTGTACATGTTCACCGTTCAAAATGTGAATAAAAATCTGTTTTACTACTGCTGTAGTTATAGTTGTATTTGTATATATGATTAAGAATTTAAAGATACACCTATGAAATTAATGTGGTGTCCATAAGTTGACAGGTGACTTAAAGGCACATGCACACACAGAATGGCATAGTATTAAGGCATTATCACTTCGCTGATTTTTTTTTATTTCTGCTGAGTAGCATATGAAACTGTGTTAGATGTGAAAGGTTTATTCCAAAATACTTTGCTCTTCATTTCACACAGAGATTGCAGCATTCCAAGGAAGTTCAGTCCCCGGAAGACCTTGGTAGTTTTCCACTTGAATAACACGAAATTAGTATGACCACACAACAGTTACCTCAAACTTGTTATTCCAACAGAACAAACTTTACTTTATGGTCCCAACTCATAAGAAACTGGTTTAGGAAAGTTTGATTTTATATTTCTGCATTTGCATCCCTCAGACTTGACAAAACCAGCTGGTGGCATGTGGTATTCATAAGCACTATTTTTGAGACTTCCTATTTGGTCATTTGTATGTAAATAGGCTAGTGAGAGCTTCTACAATAAAGTCTTGAGTATCACAGAATGGTGCGTTGACTGTTAATCTTATATGATTTTTCCTCCATAGACGGTTGAATACTCTAAACAAATGTGCAGTGATGAAGCTAGAAATCAGTCCACATAGGAAACGGGTAAGTGCCTTCAGTAAATTTATGTGAATGTAATGCTTTGATCACCTATCTTCCGTTATGGAGCTTTATCTTCTTCCTTTGAAGCAATTCTTATTGATCTTAGAAGGATTTATTCCCTCACAGGTATAGATAGGGCTTTAACCTCAGGCTGAAAACCTAAACAAACTTAGAAGAGCGTGATCTAGAAAGGCATCTTTTTTTTGGTAAATAGATCTTAATTTTCAACAAAATAATTTTATGTCTAGGGAAAAAAGGCATCCATTAAATAAAGTAAGGACTCATTTGATGGGGATCTACTGTGAGCCACAGATCAAGTGAGAAATGTTAGCAGCCCTCAGACATTAGGAGAATAAATGGATAAAGTACCTGAACAAGTTCCACTAAAATAAAATCTTGCATAATTGGTCTTCTCACTGAATAGTATTAATTGATGAATAATAGAAATGTCATGGTTTCCCTCCTACAAGAGATGCATAGAATCCAAGTATGCTCTAAGCATAGAATCCTAAGTATGCTTTATAACATTTATGCAATGCTTTGTGTCAAAAGCATTGCATAAATGTTGTAAAGCAATGCTTTTGAGTTGGGAAGATTAGCCATTTACAAGAAACATTGCCCAGAGGACACCCAACAGTATTTACTCAATCTAAATCTAAATGCCTCACAGCTGGGTCACATTTCCTCTCCTTTCCTTTGAGGTATTTGGTAATCATTGATCATGTTCCATAGAATAAAGAATGTGTTTTACTTGTTGGAATCTGGGGCAAAAGTGCCATTCGTTTTAGTGGACCTGGATTACATCTATGATGCTGTAGCGCAGGTATGGGCAAACCCAGGCCTGGGGGCTTGGGCGCTTTTCTCTGGCCCTTCTCTCACACCTATCCTTCCTACCTTCTCTCTTTCTTTCCTTCCTCTTTCCCTCCCTCCCTTATTTTCCTCTTTCTCCCTCCATCCCTTTTTCCTTTCCTTCCACCCTTTTGTGCCTCTTTCCTTCCCTCTTTCCTTCCTCCTTCCCTCTCTTCCTCCTTCCTTCCTGTTTGTCTTTCCTTCCTTCTCTTTCTTCCCTCTTTTCCTCCCTCCATTCTCTTCCATCCTTCCCTCCCTCCCTCCCTTCCTTCTTTCTCTTATCCCTTCCTCCTTACCTCCTGGGGGATATTTTACTGGGAGAAGAGAAAGTTGAGATGGAACATGAGAACCATGTTTCAAGATTTTAAAGGGTGTCCTATTGAGGAGGAGGGAGAAGACTGACTTTCTGCTGCTCTAGAAACCAGGAGCAATGGGTTCAAAAGGCAGGGAAAGAGATTCAACTGAAAAGATTCGGAAGAACTTCCTGAGAGTAAGAGCTGTTGGAGAGTGGCATGGGCTGCCTCGGAGTGGCAGCCCATGCCAGAGAAAGTCCATCTGCCAGAGAAAGTTTTTGGGATCCAAACGTTTCCCGTCTTTCCTTCACTTTCTGTCTCTGAAAGAGAAGAGGAAGGGAAGGGCAGCGAACGGACATGGGGAGAATACCCTTCCTCCTACCCCGTTCACCCTGCTCCGGCCTGCCATGCAACCTACAAGTTAGAAAGCTTGCCCATGCCTGCTGCAGTGGCTCATAGTTACTATCTGTGCACTGAATGAGGGCTGAGGGTTTGTAGGCCAGTTATACTGATTAGCATCCATTGGATCTAATTGAAAATTCTGATGATTGTATACGTACTCAGAGTTGGCATGCCATTGCCTTCCTCTGAACATTGCCTACAGCACCTGAAATGCCCTGGAGGTTGAACTCCATTTTGTAACTAAGTCTGACTCTGCTTGGCTTACAACTGTTGCCTTCAGGGTATTTTGGTTGTTCCAACATGAGCACTAAGGGGTTTGTCTGCTATTAATAGTGAAATATCTTGTTCAAAATTGGCAGTATCCACCTGTCAAATGCGGGCTGTCCTGCATTTTACAGGAATTGTGACAGTTTTTGAAGTGAGAGCCTTGTGCTGATGATGGACTGGAGTATTTCCACCATCTGATAATGCATGATGAGCCACTGAAACAGGAAGCGGTAAAAGAACTTTGCACTGTAGTATTTTTGTATCCTGTGCATTTCTCCTTTGCAACATTTGCATTCTGATATGATCACCTTGTCCCACCAGGTGAACCTTCTGGCTACTAAGCAGTGAGGGCCCCTTCAGTTCACTTTGACTGTTGTAGTTTTATCCTATGTAATTTTAGGATTTAGAGTATAAGGCGAAGTGCCAAGAATTCTCAGCCAGGGAACTCTCCCTAAACTACAAATCCCAGGATTCTCTTAAAGTAGAGCTATGGCAGTTGAAGTGGAATCATAGCACTGTAATTGTGCAATGTGAAAAAGACCTTGAAACCATCAAGTCACCATCAATCATAGGGTTTACCTTGGAGAAAAGGAAAAGTGTGGTATAGACTTCTTAGAGTTTCTTTCTCTTTGATTTAGAACAAACTATTTAAATTGTTTTTTGTTTTCTCAGTTTCCATATCCCCTCAGATATAGACCAAGCAAATGTACACAATTTTGCAACAACATGTTTCATCTAGCTCTCTGCTTCTTAACCTGTGGGGCATAGACCACCAGTGGGCTGCGAGGACGAAAATCTCGTCTTCAAGCCTCCTTCCTCTTTATTTATTTTATTGTATTTATTTTATTTCCGCTCCTTTCACACTGCCTGCCACTTTTTCCCTGTCACTGACCATGGCATATGTTCTGTATCAAAAACTAGAGCTTGTGGTCTATCCAATGCAATTTTCTGAATCAGCACCCCAAATCGAATCTAAAATTGACCAAAAACTGATTTGTAACCATTTTGGTACTAATGTTGGAAAGTGGTCTCTGGTCAAAGTGATCCCTGGTCAAGTGGTCCTTGGTCAAAATAAAAGGTTGGGCACCACTGATCTAGCTAGATAATAATAACAACAACAACAACAACAATAACAACAAAGTGGTCCCTGGTGAAAGTGGTCCCTGGTTAAGTGGTCCTTGGTCAAAAAAAGGTTGGGAACCACTGATCTAGCTAGATAATAACAACAGCAGTTTTATTTATACCCCACCACCATCTCCCAGAAGGACTCGGGGTGGCTTATAGAAGCACATCATACAAGTTCCATAACACTTAAAAATAGATGTAAAATTACATCACATATTAAAAAATGACAACATCAGTTAAGACAAAAACAACATATTACAGTCATTGGTAGATTTCAATAATGTCAACTGTTCTCTTTAGTGAATCCTGCTGTAAAGAAGGATTGTAGTGGGAAGACTAGATTCGGCTAGACAAGAAATTTAATTAGTAAGGAAGTGGATAGAGTTTTACAATATTGCGTTTTTTAAAGACAGTGTTTATTTAATTGATTTCAACTGATTAAATATCTATGTAGAAACCTATAATTCTAAAATGTAAGCAAACTAAATATTGCTGAGTAGGAGAAAGTGATGTAGTGAAGATTTATCCATGCAGTTAGGGGATCCCAGGGCTTATCTTCTCTGTTAACACAGCATTCCTTCATTTTGCTTTATGGAGGGAAGCTAGTTCTAAGGTAAAGGTAAAGGTAGTCCCCTGACATTAAGTCCAGTCATGTCTGACTCTGAGTTAAATTGTCAACATAGAGTGCATGTACTTCTTGCATTTTTCTTTGATAACTGAGTGATTTCCCATATAAATAAAAAGTAAGACTGTTATGTTAGTATCTTACCCTTTCTCTTTAAAGGCTTGAACTATATTGTCTTGTTGAAGAGCCAATCAGTGACAGTAGTCAATGAAGAAGGGATATCTTTGTAATGCTGGCGGTTTACCCATATGAAGTATCAGCTGCTTTCCACATCTTAAAATCCATGCAGTAAAAATTTGCCTGAAGTCAATTCTAAAAAGGCCTTTTCTCAAGATACTGTTTTATTGCCAGCTGCCAGTTGTGGGAAGAAAGCAAGGCTGGGTAAAGCCTGGAGGCATCGATTAGGAGCAGTCTCTCTCCTGGCCGCATTAGTCACACTTAGCAGACCCTTTAAACTGAGTTAAGAGTCAGAAGGCCCCTTAATTGCAGTCAGCGAAATAAAGAGAGAAACACTATTGATCCAGACTGCAGAGTCCTGCCTTCAGCCCTGGCTCCAGTTGAATATTTTATGCATGCCATCGTTTTTCACTGCTCTAAATAGGATGCGCTATGAATAATTGAACATCTGCAGATGCTTGGACTAATAGCTGTAGAGGTTGCATTACTTCTGTTGCCAGCGTTCCTTCCAGTTTGAAAACATTCTTCTTTAGGTTTCAAACAAATGCCTTTTTTGTTAAGACTGGCTCCTTTTTCTTTTAAATCCATTATGAAGCCTAATTTTTGGCCTTTTGCTTTGGGAATGGAAATTCATAGCATTGCCAACTAATAGAAAAAGCCAAATTATTATCAGTCTATAGGCCCTCTGGCTGGACATTTTTGTAGGCAACTCTTTCCCCTCCCAGCCATAGAAAATAAAGGTTTAAGACAAGTGAGTTGTTGTAGGTTTGTCGGGCTATATGGCCATGTCCCAGAAGCATTCTCTCCTGGCGTTTCGCCTGCATCTATGGCAGGTATCCTCAGCGGTTGTGAAGTCTGTTGGAAACTAGGAAAATTGGATTTATATATCTGGAATGTCCAGGGTGGGAGAACGAAGTCTTGTCTGTTGGAGCTAGATGTGAATGTTTCAGTTGGCCACCTTGATTAGCATTTGATGGCCTAATAGTTTTTAGGTGTGGCTTGTTACTGCCTGAGGGAATCCTTTGTTGAGAGGTGATTAGCTGTCCCTGCTTGTTTCTTGTCTGGAGTTCCCCCTATGTTTGAGTGTTGGTCTTTATTTGGTGTTATAATTTTAGAGTTTTTTTTAATACTGGTAGCCAGATTTTGTTCATTTTCATGGTCTCTTCCTTTCTGTTGAAATTGTCCATATGCTTGTGGATTTCAACGGCTTCTCTGTGTAGTCTGACATGGTGGTTGTTAGAGTGGTCCAGCATTTCTGTGTTCTCAGATAATATGCTGTGTCCAGGTTGGTTCATCAGGTGTTCTGCTATGGCTGACTTCTCTGGTTGAGTTAGTCTGCAGTGACTTTCATGTTCCTTGATTTGTGTTTGGGCAATACTGCATTTGGTGGTGCCTATGTAGACTTGTCCACAGCTGCATGGTATATGGTAGACTCCTGCAGAGGTGAAAGGATCCCTCTTGCCAGGATGTTGTAGGTTTTTCGGGCTATATGGCCATGTTCTAGAAGCATTCTCTCCTGACATTTCGCCTGCATCTATGGCAAGCATCCTCAGAGGTTGTGACCTCACAACCTCTGAGGATGCTTGCCATTGATGCAGGCAAAATGTCAGGAGAGAATGCTTCTAGAGCATGGCCATATAGCCCGAAAAACCTACAACAACCCAGTGATTCCAGCTATGAAAGCCTTCGACAACACATTGATCCCCCTTGTCCTTGGCTGAATGTAGCATTTGTTGGATTTTTAGTGGGTATGTAAATAGTTTGAAGGTTATGTTTAAGACAAGTGTCTGAAAGAATTTATCTCCCTACATGAAGTTGTGCATCACTTGTCAATTTAAGGCAACCTCATGAATTTCATAGGATTTACTTAAGCAAATAATAATTCTGAGGTGCCTTTGCCAGTAATTTCCTCTGAAATATAGCCCACAGCACCTGGTATTCATTGGGGGTCTCCCATCCAAGTAATAACCAGGGCTGACCCTTCTTGTCCTCCAAGATCCAACAGAATATGGGGTGTTTAGGCCACTCCCTACTCAGGTTTTAAGATCTTTGGTGGAGTGCTTGTGAAATGCTTCTTTCTCTATATTCACTCCTCTCCACCACCCAAATCCATAACTTGCTCCAGTTCAGCATAGAAACTGGACCATACTGAACCATATAACTGACTCACCTAACTCAGTATTTTCAACTCTCGGTGACAGTAACTTTCCAGGTTTCAGGCAGGATTCTTTCTTCGCCCTACCAGGACATTCCAGATGTGCAACAGGGAAATTCCATTCATGTGCTAACCAGCTTCTTAGTTTCCAAAATTTGGCAAGATCGGGTGTTTTCTTTGTGAAGTGGTGGTATAGAGATATATAAGTTCAAGTTCAGTACATGTGTGTGTATGGGGCGGGGGGGGGGTGGATTTCACTGAGTAAAGCCATTCTGCAGGAACATAGGAAACTGCCCTTTTAAATCAGACCATTGGTGTGCCTAATTCTGTTTTATTTGCATTACCTGACAGTGGCTCTCTGGAGTATAACTCAGGCCAGGTTCAACCAGGGAAGTGTATAAGACTATGCTGTCCTTTGCCCTAGTAGCCATGAAGCTCCAAGGAATGAATTGTTTACTGGCCTGGCTTGGGAGGAATTGGGAGGTGATCAATGAGGTATCAAACAATATTGGCTGTCCAGGAAAAAGAAATAAGGGTGCTCTCATAAATGCAGTGTGCCTTTATTTCTCTTCCATGTATAGCCCTGACCAGCTACTTGCTGATCTTCTGGTTTTCCTCCCAGAAGCAACAACTCTTCCAGGGCTTGACTGCTGCCTGTAAGGGAAGTTTTGGACAGTTTAAAGAGATTGTGAATAAACCTTTGCACTTGTCAAAACGAAGGCACACACACACACACAAATCACCAACAGGATTCTCATCTCAATCTTACCTACAGATGCCAGGGATTGAACCTGGGGCTTCCTGCAGGCAAAGTGTGAATTTGTCAAATCATTATGGCATGTTATAGGAAGTCAATCATTGCGAAAGCATTTGAAGTTAGGTCTACCTTTATAGCTTTAACTCAATTATAGTGTCTCTTTTCTTACAAAGAAGAGGTATATTGTGTGCTTGGGGAATCCTTTAAGGCTTATATATTAATATAAAATATTATAGTATTAATATATTACTGATGTGCTGTGCTAATATATAGTATACACATATAATATTGATAAAATTTAAATGTAATACAATATAATAATACAGTATAAGAATTATATATTTTATATTACTTGTAATATTACTAATAATATTACAGTATAGTGGTATAGTACAATATAGTAATATATAATACTAATATTGTGCTGCGCTGATAATATAATATATTGTATACACATATAATATTGATAATAATAATAAATGTAGTGCAATATAATACTAATAATAATAATAATACAATATAATAGTTATATATTTCATATTACATGTAATATTCCTAATAATATTACAGTATAGTGGTATAGTACAATATAGTAATATATAATACTAATATTGTGCTGCGCTGATAATATAATATATTGTATGCACATATAATATTGATAGTAATATTATAATGTAATACAATATAATACTAATAATAATAAAATATAAAAGTTATATATTTCATATTACATGTAATATTACTAATAATATTACAGTATAGTGGAGACCCCGGTGATGCAGTGGGTTAAACCGCTGAGCTGCTAAACTTGTTGACCAAAAGGTCACAGGTTCGAATCCGGGGAGCAAGGTGAGCTCCCGCTGGTAGCCCCAGCTTCTGCCAACCTAGCAGTTTAAAAACATGCAAATGTGAGTAGATCAATAGGTACCACTCCAGCAGGAAGGTAATGGCACTCCATGCAGTCATGCCGGCCACATAACCTTGGAGATGTCTATGGACAACGCTGGCTCTTTGGCTTAGAAATGGAGATGAGCACCACACCCCAGAGTCGGACATGATTAGACTTAATGTCAGGGGAAAACCTTAACCTTTACTATAGTGGTATAGTACAATATGGGAATGTATGGTACTAATATTGTGCTATGCTAATAATATAATGTGTTGTGTTTACATATGACTTGTAAGCCATTCTGAGTCCCCTTCAGGGTGAGAAGGGTGGCATATAAATGCCATAAATAAATAAATGTTCAGATCAACAGTGCATTGCTGGTTAAGATCATGTTCACTGACAGTAGTTTTCATTTAATTTCCAAGTGATCTTGCCATTCTATTTTCCTCTTATTGTGGGTTCCCTGTTCCATTGCAGAGTGAAGATTCAGATGAGGACGAGCCTTGTGCAATAAGTGGCAAATGGACTTTCCAGAGGGACAGCAAGAGATGGTCCCGCCTTGAGGAATTCAACGTTTTCCCTCCCAAGCAGGATGTGAGCCCCTCGTCCCCAGAGGTGCCTTCTCTGAGCAGCGCAGCCAGTCATGAAAGCATGCTGACTGACTCCGGTGATCATCAGGAAGTCGTGTCAGTCCACAGTATCAGCAGCAACAGCAGCCATCCCACAGCCTCTCAGAGTGAAGCAGCCACGACTAGGACCAATTCAGTCATTAGCGTTGGCTCATCGGGCAACCTCGTGGCAAATGAGGACTCTTTCAGCAGCTTGCCCTCACCTAAAGAGCTGTCAAATTTCAGTTTCGGTGTGAAAGCTAATGAGAAGAATGCCAAGTCCAAAACAAGAAGCCTGCTGAAGAGGATGGAGAGTTTAAAAATAAAAAGCTCTCATCATGGGAAAAACAAATCCCCTTCAAAGCTTGGACTTATAATCAGTGGTCCCATCTTGCAAGAGGGTATGGATGAAGAGAAATTAAAGCAACTGAACTGCGTAGAGATCTCAACCCTGAATGGCAATCACATCAATGTCCCTATGGTACGCAAAAGAAGCGTCTCCAATTCCACCCAGACCAGCAGTAGCAGCAGCCAATCAGAGACTAGCAGTGCCGTCAGTACCCCCAGCCCCATTACGAGGACACGCAGCCTCAGCACCTACAGCAAAAGAGTAGGGATGTACCTGGAAGGCTTTGATCCTTTCAACCAGTCAACGTTCAATGATGTCCTAGAGCAGAACTTTAAAAACCAGGATAGCTTTGCAGAAGACACCGTCTTCTTCATTCCAGAAGACCACAAGCCAGGAACCTTTCCCAAAGCTCTCTCCAATGGGAACTTTGCACCCTCACAGAATAGCACAACTGTGAACTGGAGAACGGGAAGCTTCCATGGACATGGGCATCTCAGCCTCAGGAGGGAGAACAGTTCCGACAGCTCCAAAGAGCTGAATATCGGAAAGAGACGCAATTCCTCCAGCTCCATGTGCAGTCGCCTCAGCATTTATGACAACGTTCCAGGCTCAATTCTCTATTCCAGCACAGGCGACCTGGCCGATCTTGAGAATGAAGACCTTTTCCCTGAACTCGATGACATCCTGTACCATGTCAAAGGCATGCAGAAAATTGTGAACCAATGGTCAGAGAAGTTTTCAGATGAAGGAGACTCAGACTCGGCTCTAGACTCAGTATCTCCATGCCCTTCATCTCCCAAGCAGATCCTCCTTGATGTGGACAATGATAGGACAATAGTCAGTGATCTGGACAGCACAGGAAATTCACTAAATGATACCGAAGAGCCTGCGGGGCTTCAGGAAAGGAGAGACTCTGGGGTGGGTGCTTCGCTGACACGGTCTAACAGGTCAGTAAATATGATATAACACAGGGATAGGGATGTGGTTTCCCCCAGGACTGTATAGCTAATCCTTTTTTTGTTCCTAAACAATCCATTTTTAGAGAAATAACTAAGTAGAATACATCAAAGATACGATTATCTTTTCCTATGTTCATGTTAACAGGGAGAATGTAGATGGTTATTTTATAAAGACCCTGTAGCAGTCAAGGGCAAACTTTGGTCCTCCAGGTGTTTTGGACTCCAATTCCCACAATTACTAACAGCCTATATGGTTCCGGCCCAGCGTACCCTGTCCGAACGTATTGCCTTCTATGTCCCACCTCGGAGTTTAAGATCTTCTGGGGAGGCCCTGCTCTCGGCCCCGCTTCTGTCGCAAACACGCTTGGCGGGGACGAGGGACAGGGCCTTCTTGGGGGTGCCCCCCCCTGCCTGTGGAATTCACTTCCTGGTGAAATTAGATTATCGATGTCCCTCCTTTCCTTTAGAAAGAAGTTAAAAACGTGGATGTGGGACCAGGCCTTTGGGTAATCTTGCCAACAGTGACAATGATGGCAATCGCTATGGGAATGAATTATGGACATGCTTGATGGAGTCTTTAACTACAGAATTAGGCTCAGATAAGGCCACCAGGCTGTTATTGAAACAGAAACAGATTTTAATTAATTAATGTGCTTTAATGTTTTAAATGTATGTAATTATTGGACTTTATTATGTATTTTATTATGTGTACATTGGAGGCATTGAATTGTTGCCGGCTGGAAGCTGCCCTGAGTCCCCCCCCCCGTGGGGGGGGGGGGGTTGAGAAGAATGGGGTACAAATATCTGAAATAATAAATAAATAATAATAACGGCTGTTAGAAATTGTGGGAGTTGGAGTCCAAAACACCCGGAGGACCAAAGTTTGCCCATGCCTGCTCTAAAGACTCTTACCAGTAAAGTCTTATTGCAGTGAACCCAGGCAGATTTAGCCATTCATTACTCTATATGTTGTTGTTATGCACACTATAAAAGGAATTCAGAAATTCTAAAATGCTTGCTCTTTGCATCACCAATATGGCTCCTCACTCCTTTATTGCATGTTGTGATATGCTGCTTTTCTGTGCAGCCCTGACCTGTCCGTGTCATTAAACATCTGCTGACTTTTCTCCCTCTCCAAAAGGCATCGAATGAGGTGGCACAGCTTTCAGAGCTCCCATCGGCCAAGCTTAAGCTCAGCATCCTTGCAGATTGATTGTCAGTCCGTGGCACAGATGAACCTGCTGCAGAAGTATTCCCTTTTGAAATTAACTGCACTCCTGGAGAAATACACACCTTCTAATAAGCATGGATTCAGCTGGTGAGGAGCTTCACACTTCCTTGACAAATCCGACTAGTGAGAACCTATAAATAGTTTGAAAAAATATATACAGAACAATCCAGAGTTGGCATTCACACATCTAAAGGGTATTAGTCTACAATTCTGGGGAAGCTGTTGATTGGATTGGGTACGGATTTAGACACATGCAATGGAACTGGGGTAAACAAACAACCCTGCTCTTTCCTCCCCTTTAGGTGTCAAGGGTTCCAGGAATTCCATTCCCAGATACGTTTCCATTTTGGTAAATCTTTCATAACTCCGTATCACGATGTATTCCATTCATTGGGATTCCCCCAATTCTTGGGGGAATTTTAAGGACATTTGGAGGGGCTTCTATACATGGCCCCCCTTGTAACACAGCAGCAGATTAAACCGCTGATCTGTTGAACTTGCTGACTGAAAGATTAGCGGTTCGAATCTGTGCAGCGGGGTGAGCTCCCGCTGGTCGGCCCAGCTTTGGCCTACCTAGCAGTTCGAAAACATGCAAATGTGAGTAGATCAATAGGTACTGCTTCTGCGGAAAGGCAACAGCAGTCCATGTAGCCATGCTGGCAACATGACCTTGGAGGTGTATGGACAATGCCAGCTCTTTGGCTTAGAAATGGAGATGAGCCCCACCCCCCAGACTCGGACACGATTAGAGTTAATGTCAGGGGAAACCTTTACTTTTTTACTTCTATACAATGACAGCCAATAAATTTGTTACTATGAGAGTAATTAATGTACTCTCAGTTTTAGGACTGCTCCTTGCAGCTTCTCTAACTTACGTGGGAACTCCTCCATTGGTGAGCCTCTGACAGATTAATGTCCAATGCTCATAGAACTGTGGGAGGAATAGTAGTAAAATGGAAATTGTATCTGCTAGAACAACAGGTACAGTATCCATCCATACTGTCGTGTTGCAGGTGCCTAAATCAAGATCCAATTATGTGCCTAAATTAGTGGTACACCATTGGCTTCAAGAACGTTCATGATGTTTTCTTAGATTTGAAAACATGTTATGTCATATAAAATCTAATACAAATATGTCTGTATGTAACATAGGGCAGCCAAAAGTGAAATATATGTAATTTTTTTAGTTGGGGGCAATCTACTCTATACTGTTTCATCATCTGGTTTAGTCTCCTCTTTTCCTTCCTTGGGACTAGTGGAGAGTATTTTAAATCCAGCATCAAAGCTCTTCCTGTTCAAAAGCTGTTATTATGGGATCCTGCTCTAAATACAGAAGTTGTTTGTTCCGACAGACAGGAATAAGTATTGCCCAGTTTGTCCTTGCATGCTTCAGATTCTCAGTGGACATCGTAATGTATGTGGATGTGTGTGGGTGGGTGTGGATGTGTGTTTGTTTTTCACGTTACATTCCAGTGCCATGTGTTTGGATGGAATGGGAATTATACACACATACGCTTATATCAATAAGGTTCTGTGTTAAGCTGTGTGGAAACATAAATGAGGTGGCGTGGTTGTGCGGCAGATTAGTCATTCATAAGCCTAAAATGTTGTTTATATAGCGATCCTGTAAGTTTAGAATTTTATTGGTTTGTGTCATTCCTAATTCTGCTTCACATATTAATTTGCTTCTTTGCTGCACTCAACCTAAAATTGTAAAGCAATTTTATTAAGTGTAGTAGAAGGACTTTGGAATATTTTTTTAGGGTAGATTTTTTTCCCTGGTAGGTGAAACCAATGGAAAGACTTTAAACCAAAATGGGTAGGTGAAAGTCGGTGGAGGCCTTCTGAAAAGGTCATTTGTCGAACTGAAACTTGTTGCTGGCAAACACCAATGTATTACATCAGTTTCCTGCTGTGACACAGGCTGGTGGGTGGTGGGACGGGTTTGAGGGCTTTTTAAAGCAAGTGGTTAACATACAAAAAGCTCATTGTTCCCATGTCTGTCTTTCCTGGGAGTCCTAAAGAAGCAAGTTTATAAAGGGTCATTGACTGCTAGATCTGTGTTTGACTCTTACACGTTTTGACATGGCCACCCCATTCTGCCGTGTACCTGATGGTCTGCCAGATCCTGGCTTACAAAATTAGCAAATTGAAATGATCCACCTATTAAGCAATACAGTGCAGAGATGGATTCTCTCACAATACATTAATGTTTTGAATGTGACTGTTCTAATTGTTTTGACAAGGCTATCCTCAAGAATCCATCACTTAGTACTGGGTGTGTCAAAAGTCATGGCTCATACACAATGTATTATATAAATTTATAAGCATACCTAAGTATGGTTACATTGTCCCTGATGTTTCTAAATTCTCACTATGGCCTCCTTTAAATAATACAAAATGCCTGTGGGGCATAGTTTTTGACACACCTTGTATATAAGATGTTTTACAAAGACGTGAAAAAGATCAGAGCTCCTACTCACATAGATTTTGCTTGTTGGTAGTAAAGCTATAGTTTTCTAGCACTATTTTATTAATTCAGTGCTGAGATCACACCAAAATATTGTCTGTGTTGAAATGAGAATTTGGCTAGAATTGATTTTTGTATGTCATAGATAAGCTAAAAGCAAGGTCAAGTCAAATTGGGAGATGAGGGAGAGGGCCTTCTCAGCGTTGGCCCCTCAGCTCTGGAATGCTCTCCCCATGTAGATTAGGCAGGTCAACACACTGTCCTCCTTCCATAGGAACCTGAAGATCTGGCTAGTCAAACAAGCTTTTGAGAGTGCCTAGTTCCTAGTTATCTAAGCAATTGTTATGCAGCGTTGCACTTTTTCCCATGCCCTCTTCCCATGGCTACAGCTTTACACTTATCCCATTCCCGGTTCGATTGTTTACTCCCTGGCCACATTTATAGAGCTTACCACCATTAATTGATGAGCACTGTTTTGAATTGAGTGTTAGTTGATATTTCGTATGTCCATAGGTAAAGTAAGGTAAAGATTTTCCTCTGATATTAAGTCCAGTTGTGTCCAATTCTGGGTGTTGGTGCTCATCTCCATTTCTAAGCCGAAGAGCTGGCGTCATCCATAGACACCTCCAAGAGCATGTGGCCAGCATGACTGCATGGAGCACCATCCATATATTGTATTAATCGTATTTTAAAATTGTTTTCATTTTATGTTCTGTTTTCAGGCAACTTGTGCTGTGTGTCAGCCGCCCCAAGTCCCTCTAGGGAGATGGTGGCGGGATACAAGAATAAAGAAGATGTTGTTGTTGTTGTTGTTAAGAAATAAGGATTCAACTTCTTGAAAGACTAATCAAGAAATTTTTACACACAAGTTGAAGGCAGAGTTTGAGAAAAAATATTTTTCTTTTCTATAACTCCTTAAAAATCTAAAAATAAAATTCCAAGCTCAGTTTAAAAGCATTTTACATTTATTTTGAGGGCTTTTTTGATATTTTACCGTAAAAGGGAAAACAAACTTTTCTTTCATAGTGAGTGATAGCTCTTAACCTTGCAATGAAAAAAGTTCATCTGGCCTGCATGATAGACCACTTGAAAACCTTATATGCCTCTGCAGCCAATTCCAAGCTAGAAGTAAATTAGTAGATAATGATTCAAAATTAAAATTCACAAAGATTTTTTTAAAGTGACAAATAGCTAATAGACGCCAGTTGAGCTACCAGTTAAAAACTGTTTACACTTCTTCTCTCAAACACTATGATTACATTTTAGGGGCTTTTCCGACAGCATTTTCTTAACATAGCGGAATGCTGTGAATTCAGGTTTTCCATACTGCTATTCTCAGTCAAGTGAGATATTTGCTGGCAAACCTCTTCCTCCACAGCCCACAGATGGAAATAGAAATTTAGAGTGGGTATTTGGGAAAGACTACATATGCATTTTAAAAGACACTTGAAACTCTGTCAGTTTTTAGCATACTTATTTCTGTTTCTCTGCAGGGCTGTGCCAAAGTTCATGAAAAGGATAAAAGTCCCAGATTATAAAGACCGAAATGTGTTTGGAGTTCCCTTAACAGTGAATGTCCAACGTACAGGGCAGCCTCTTCCTCAGAGCATTCAACAAGCCATGAGATACCTTCGCAACCACTGCCTGGATCAGGTTGGATTCTTCTTCCACTTTTGCCTTCCAAAATCCACAACATTTATTTTTACTGACGTGTCTCATTCAGATTTGTGTTTAGAAAATTGTGTTGATAGTCAAAGAAATACATTAGGAAATGAATTGCAATTGCCAAACTCAAAATAATGAACCCTCAATTTATGAAATGTGTAACTCTCTCCTTTTTGTTGTGTAGGTTGGCCTTTTCCGAAAATCTGGGGTCAAGTCAAGAATCCAGGCATTACGACAGATGAACGAAAGCTCAACAGGCAGGGTCAGCTATGAAGGGCAGTCTGCTTATGATGTAGCTGACATGTTGAAGCAATATTTCCGTGATCTGCCTGAACCACTCTTGACCAACAAACTTTCAGAAACTTTCTTACAGATCTACCAGTGTAAGTCATCAGTGTAGTTTTTGTCATTTCTAAATATTTCTCTTTAGATACACAGTTTCTCAGAATTTGATGCAGAAAACAAAATATTACTATATATTCTCAATTTTAAAAGGTTTGTTGTTGTTTATTCGTTGAGTCACTTCCGACTCTTTGTGATCTCATGGAATAGCCCACACCAGAGCTCCCTGTAGGCCGTCACCACCCCCAGCTCCTTCAGAGTCAATCCAGACACTTCAAGGATACCATCCATCCATCTTGCCCTTGGTCAGCCCCTCTTACTTTTTCCTTCCATTTTCTCCAGCATCATTGTCTTCTCTAAGCTTTCCTTTCTTCTCATGATGTGGCCAAAGTACTTCATCTTTGCCTTTAATATCCTTTCCTCCAATGAGCAGTCAGGCTTTATTTCCTGAAGTATGGACTGGTTGGATCTTTTTGCAGTCCAAGGCATTCTCAGGATTTTCCTCCAACACCACAATTCAAAAGCATATATCTTCCTTCGCTGAGCCTTCCTTATGGTCCAACTCTCACATCCATAGGTTACTACGGGGAATACCATTGCTTTAACTATACGGATCTTTGTTGCCAGTGTGATGTCTCTACTCTTCACTATTCTATCGAGACTGATCATTACTCTCCTCCCAAGATGTAAACGTCTTCTGATTTCCTGCCTGCAATCTGCACATGCCGTAATCTTTGCACCTAGAAATACAAAGTCTGTCACTGCCTTAAAAGGTTAAAAATATAATCTATCACTCAAAATCAGATTATGTAAAATATGTTAAAACAATTTAAAATAAATTAATTTGAAAACGGGATAAAATCAATTTGGCACCAAAGAATTTAATTTAAAAAAGAATTGTTTTGACTTGAACCTGAAATGACCCCAATACAGGAGCCAATTGGGCAACAGAGTGGAAGGTATTCCATAACGGAGATGGCAAGCAAAGAAGGCTTTCTTCCATGTATGGGATCTAACACACATATAAAGTCAACAGAAACAGTAGCAAGCAATCATGGGGACTGCAATCTAACTGTTAGGGAAAACTACCCTAAAATAAAGTAGAGAATCCAAAATACAAACAGGATACTAAAAGTTGAGCCTTCAGCTCACAGCTAGCAAAGTGTGAAGTGCCGTGTGATGTGGTTGTAAAGAATTTAGAGCTTAGGCAGGCAAAGATGCAGATCCCAATCTTTAAAATCACAAACTGTTTATTTACAGTAATAAAGAACTGACTACATTTCTTAGTAATCAAGAACTGGGTCTGAGCCACTCTAACACCCATTTCTTCTAAGGTTTTAAAGACAGGTGGGAAAAACAATCACTACATTTCTCTGATACACAAGCAGAGAGAGATCTCCAAGAACACAGCCCATATTAAAGATATAAGAGAACAGAAGTCAGATTTTTAAAAGGCTTGCAGTAGAAAAGTATGCATTTAAACAACCAGACTGAGAGCAGAAACAGGGAGGAAAGAAGAAATTAGATACATTCCAACCTTCTTACAGGAGACACGGAGGGAATTCCCTCAGACTTTACTAAACTAACTGCTCCTTGTTGAGGACTTGAAACTTGGGCAGTGTGGAGTTCAATTCCAACACTAAAAACATTGGGAAGCCATTTGCCCATCTTGATAGATAGCAAAAGAGACAGTTCTATATATGAAATGCACCACAGTATGCAAATAAATGTGGATTGGGACATTCCACGCTGACATTAGAAAAGGGATACCTCCCCGAGTCCTCAGAAACACACACAGCACAGAGACTCCATTACAAGACTGCACCAGTTTTTCCTGAGATATTCTGGGCCATGTTGGGATCAGCTTGGAGGAATGATTGTCTTAATCACAGATCTACAGTGAAATGATAGAAGTATTCTTGCAAGGGACATTCAGCCTTACCATGTCTTAATTGCTGAGGGGGAAAAGGAATTGCCTTGTGACTTTCTTTTAGGAAGCCCTGAAATTGGAAAACAATGAATTGGTCCCTCAGATACCACATGTGATTTTCTTGTGCAAGCATACACCCATGTGTATGCATATGTTTAAGGATTTCAATATAGCTTTGTATTTTTATGTGTAGTTCTGTAAGAGCTTCCAAGGAACTGGGGGGTGTACTTTTGCTGCAATTTTGTGCATTATAATTGGAGCTTTGACAAGTTTTCATTTTTAGTGTTGACTTTCTAAATTATTGCATTCTGTTTTTATTTTTAATGACTTTTCCTTGTATTTGTCACATCCCCAATTATGTCTCTTAATTAGAAACAAAATGAATCAGCCTCTCTGTTATTCCTCTCATTATGCAAGGCTTATTGTAAAAATTGGGATGCTTATTGAGAGGAACCCATGGTGGCACAGCGGGTTAAACCGCTGAGCTGCTGAACTTGCTGACCAAGAGGTTGGCGGTTCAAATCCAGGGAGTGGGATGAGCTCCCATTGTTAGACCCAGCTTCTGCCAACCTAGCAGTTCAAAAACATGCAAATGTGAGTAGATCAATAGGTACTTCTCCATGCAGTCACACTGGCCATATGACCTTGTAGGTGTCTACGGACAATGCTGGCTATTCCTTAGAAATGGAAATGAGCACCACCACCTCAGAGTTGGACACAACTAGACTTAATTTCAGGGGAAACCTTTAAGTTTACCTTTATTGTTAAAAAACAAATATAGAAAGTGTCATGGCCACTTTGTCTTTCTAAATCTGGAGTTCTGTGATGTGTATCCATCTCCCTTTCCTTAAAAATGTCCACTCGAGCTGTCCTCTCCACTTATTGAAGCTCAGTCTGGACATTTTGTGGTGCCAAAGTTAGGAATAGTTTGAGGGCTATTTATTTTAATTGCCTTCCTGATTGAGGAATGTGTGTCTCGCTGGTGTGTATGAATTTTTTTGCAGCCTAAATTGGCAGAGCTTAGCCTTTGTATGCTCGTCGCCACCCATGTTCATAAAATGGTGGAGCCCCCATCTAATTTAATGGGCTTTTTAAGCAGGTCTGCAGAAGTGTGTGGCTCTCAAAATTAAAAATCTAAATTTAACTCAGAGCTTTGTTGAGTCTCTTGCTAGGCAGGAAATACCTGAGGGCGGTTAAGCTGTGGACCAAGGGGGGAGGGGGGGGGATCCAGAAAACCTTCATGTGCCATGAATGGTATGCAATGCAACGCACTGCAGGAAATCACTGCAGACTGAAGTCAAAAATAGTTGAAACGAGCGTTTGCTTTGGGATGCATTCATGCTATATGTGTGGAAAATCATTGACTTGAGAGGATTGCTAATCTTGTGCAGATGTGCCAAAGGACCAGCGTCTCCAGGCGATCAAGGCGGCCATTATGCTCCTACCAGATGAGAACAGAGAGGTCCTACAGATCCTCCTATATTTTTTGAGTGACGTCACGGCTGCTGTGAAGGAAAACCAAATGACGCCAACAAATCTGGCTGTGTGCTTAGCGCCTTCCCTTTTCCACTTGAACACCTTGAAGAGGGAAAATTCTTCACCAAGGCAAGTCTCATCCTGGTGGCCTTGCTGCTGAAGCGCTTCCAATAGCTTGTCCTTTTAAAAGGTTGAAATTTCCCTTCAAAACCAAAATTGCTACCGCTTTTGCATAAATGGTCTCTGATGAACAATATTGTGGGTAATAAAACGCTAGTAATTGAATAGTTGTGATCATTCAGACATTTAAGTCCTTGCTTGATTTGAGAAGTGGTGAATGTGCATGGATGAAAGCAGTATTTTATTCATACGTAGAGCTTGGGAAGTCTTAGAAAAATATATGTTTTTGGACTACAACTTCCAAACCCCTCCCTACCTAGCACAGCTGGGAATGATAATAAAAATGTTAACAGTTCCTAGCTTTTCATAAACACAGATATAGCACTATATTTCCATTTTAACTGTCATCAATCCTGTAGAATCCTAAAGTTTAGAGACACACCAGAATTTGCTCAGGCATAAAAGCTTTCTGGCTGATGGCTCTCAATATCACTCCCCAATTTCAACTCCTAGAATACCATAGGGTGGAACCATGCAAGGGAACAAGGTATCATACTGTTAATAGTTGTATAGTGGGAAACCATAGGCACCTGGCTGGTCATTATATTATAAATTAGTGGTTCCCAATCTATGGCCTATGAACCACCAGTGGTCTCGCGAAACCCTCTTACAGTGCTGAGGTAATGGGGATGTTGGGAGGGGAGAGGCTGACTACCCATGAAAGGTATCACAACAAACCTTCTGACTACTGCTCCTTTCTCCCTCTGAGCAGAGCCATTCCATGTGGTGACTGGAAGTGGGGGGTGCCTTGATGTCTTCATTTTTAGGCCTGTTCCTGGGAGTATTTGGGATGCTGATTCAGAAAATTGCATTGGATAGACCACATCAGCTCTAAGTTATTAAATACACTTTTCTGTGGGCAAGCAGATGGTGACTACTGGATGCGCATACACTGTATCAGAAACTAGAGCTGATGTGGTCTATCCAATGCAATTTTCTGAATCAGCACCCCAAATAACCAAACCAAATTTAAAGTTGGCCAAAAACTGATTCGTAACCCTTTTGGTACTAATGTTGGAGAGTGGTGCCTGGTCAAAGTAGTACCTGGTCAAGTGGTCCCTCCTCGTCAAAGTGGTCCTTGATTTTTTTTAAATGGTTGGAAACCATTGTTATAAATGAAGAAAAGTGCTAGACATTTTATTTATTCAAGGTGCTTATCTATTGTCTCTTAGCCCACCAGACCCCAAAATTCAGGTGCAAGTTGCAAAGCTTATCATCAGCCTTTTGATGGAATTCTTAAGTTTTTCTAGATTTCCCCATTCATATAAGAGATTAACTTGGCCCACTGATACATTATACACATCCTGCCCACTGATCATTCATGAAAATTGTATTTTAACAGGGTGATGCAGAGGAAGCAGAGTTTAGGAAAACCTGATCAGAAAGATTTAAATGAGAACTTGGCTGCCACACAAGGCCTGGGCCACATGATCGCTGAGTGCAAGAAGTTGTTTCAGGTGAATATTCTACTCTAAATTGATTTCTAAAACCTTTTATTAATATCCTGCATTGCAATATTTACTTTGTTTTTGACATCACCATGCTCTATTGGTCAGCTAGTCTCACTAGTGGGACACTGCTGAAAGAGTCTGAAAGGGTAGGACTGCTCTCCTGACATTGGGCAGAAGAAAGTCATTCCCTCAGTCAGGCAGCAAGTGGTGGGTGGACTGGAAGCCTTCTGACTGTCTTCCAAAGGGGTCTACACCACACAGCTTATTCGGAACCCTATGAGCCAGGGATGGGCAGCTGTGAAAGATTAGGGGACCTTGAGGGGCTGCACCTCTCTCCACACCTGCTACTGAATGAAGAAATGAATACAGGCACCCTTACTTATAGTTTAAAGATCAGAGTGACATCAAAGAGTGGAAATTGTTGTAATGAATTTTGCCATTGAGCAGATGAATTTGAAACTGAAATTTAGTCTTAAAGATCGAAGAGGGTGGAAAGTTATAAGCACTTGTCAATGACCTGCATTTCCATGACATAACAATTTAGAATTCTATCCAGAATCCTTATATTCAATTCATGATCCACTCTTTCATCATTCTTGCATTATGCTTTTGCAACCATGTTGCTGCATTTTCTCTCAGTCAGTGCCATCTTGGAAAGTATTTCTACAACAGAAATATAGCCATTGAGCAAAGTCAGCATTTACAAGACTTTCTAAATAAAGCAGGCTGATTTTCCTTTTATATGAAGTTCAGCTGAAGTATTTGCTGCATATTGTTGCTTACAGATTCATGTAACTGTCTAAAACAACCACTAGGTGGCAAACTGCATCAATTTTTCATGACTTCCATGTAAGGGGTCTCAAATGCGGTTGCAACCAACAGTTTTAAGAAGCTTTGGTTTAGAGCAGTGGTTCTCAACCTGCTGCTCCCCAGGGATTTTGGCCTACAGCCAGTTTACCAGTTGTTAGGATTTCTGGGAGTTGAAGCCCAAAACGTCTGGGGACCCACAGGTTGAGAACCACTGGTTTAGAGTCTCTTAACAGCACAAATGAAATCTTATAAAATGCATAATGGGATATTGTCATCAGTTGTGTCTCTCTGACTGTTTCTCCATCCTGTCCCTCTGCCTCTGGAATTCTTCCAATTCTTAGATTCCTGAAGAAATGAGCAGATGTCGCAACTCTTACACAGAACAAGATCTTAGGCCTGTGAGCTTGGAGGAACTGGGGAGAGCTCATAACTCTAACTCTGAGCCTGCAGACTACCGCTCTTACATCCAAGACTGTATGGACGATTTGCTGAAGGAGATTAAAGACAAATTTAAAGGCTGGGTCAGCTGTTCCACCTCAGAGCAAGCAGAGCTTGCCTGCAAGAAGGTATTTGGGCATAATTTCAAGAGGTTGTTTGTAATGTAAATGCATGGGGATGGGAAAGCAAACAAAACCACACTGCATATGCATTTTGGAGAAGGGAAACTATATTGGTCTTAAACTTGGAAAAATAATTAGATGCAAGTAATGACTCATTAGGGCCCCCTGGTGACACAGCAGGTTACACTGCTGAGCTGATGAACTTGCTGACCAAAAGGTTGGCAGTTCAAATCTGGGGAGCAGGGTGAGCTCCCGCTGTTAGGCCCAGCCTCTGCCAACCTAGCAGTTTGAAAACATTCAAATGTGAGTAGATCAATGGGTATCGCTTCTGCAAGAAGGTGACAGCAATCCATACAGTCATTCTGGCTACATGATCTTGGAGATGTCTACGGACAACACCAGCTTTTCGGCTTAGAAATGGTGATGAGAAACCGACCCCCCACCCCACCCCAACCTGAGTCGGACATGACTACACTTAATGTCAGGGGAAACCTTTACCTTTAAAGGTCCCCCCCCCCCAAAAAATGGAAACGATAGCACCAGCTGACTTGTCTAAACGTATCTCCCTCTACATTCCACCTGGTAGTTTAAGATCCACCTAGGAGGCCCTGCTCTCTGTCACACTAGCATCTGGTGGGGACGAGGGACAGGGCCTTCTCAGTGGTGACCCCCGCTTGTGGAATTCACTCCCTAGCGAGATTAGATTGGCATCCTCCCTCCTTTCCTTTAGGAAAAAAACTGAAATTGTGATTTTGGAACCAGGCTTTTGGCTAGCAGGCATAGCGGCACTTTGGACATTGAACTGGACCATATGATTGTTATAATAATGGAAACGGCTATATGACTGTATAATTAATGTTAGTGTTTTTAATCTATTGTGTATTTATAGTTTTATATTGTTATATTGTAATATTTGCGGCATTTAATTGTTGCCAGTGTTAGCCACTCTGAGTCCCCCCTCGGGGGTTGAGAAGGGCGGGGTAGAAATGTTGTAAACCAATAAATAAATCATATTTGCCGATTTGGTTATCAGCAAAATGTTATACTGGGGGCAATGTTAAAATCATTCAGATTTCAGGATAGTCTTCATGAGTCAAATTGGGATATAGAATTCAGTTGAAAGGTGATCTAGAATTTAAACCCTTTGCCAGGATAAACAATAAAAGCCAGTGTGGTGTAATGGTTTCAGCACTGGAGTACAACACTAGAGACCAGGGTTTGATTTCCCGCTCGGTGATAGAAACCCACTGGGTAATTTGAAGCAAATCACACACTCAAGTCCATGAAACTCTATGATATGGACACGTTAGGGTCACCATAACTCAGAAATGACTTGAAGGAACATGAAAACAATATAGAAGATAGATCTTGCTCATACTGGGACCTGTGGTTGAACTTCTATAGAGTCAAAATTTTCAGGTGACTGTAGTAGTAATCTATTCTGATAACTGCAATCAGCACTCAAAAAGAAACACACACCCGGCTTTATTCCAGTGCTACAACTACGGTCTCTTTGTTCTCCTTCCAGATACAAATGCTTTGGCAGAAGCATCTATGTAGTAAGTTGCAGGAAAGATGAAGCTGTCAAATGTGATAGCTGTTACAGTCATAAAAGTGCTTCTGTTCACATGGAGATTAGTTCACATTTTCCTGTCTTCACAGAATGAGAGACAGATCTCTGTCTTTGAACAGTATTGTCATTGGAAATGACAATACTGCCCCTCCAGAATAAACGTTTTGAGGATATTCCACATGTGCCATTCACAAATAATAGATTATACATTTAAACAGTAACTTTGGGGTGTCACCCATAGTTTTTCAGACCTTCCACAATACAATGATCTTTTCACGGTGTGTAACAATGCATGACACTGTCACTTATTAAAAACAAAGTGACAGAAGTTCATTTGAATAAGAAATGGATGCACCTGAAAACTTCCAAGAGCAATAACCCACATTCCTTTCTTTGACCAGAAAAATGTCCAGGGATTCTGAAGGGTCTTAGGGCCACAAAAACATTGTGTGGATCACATGCAGTTCCAGGTTTTATCATGTACTAGCCATCTCCTGCCACGTGTTGCTGTGGCCTAGTCTGTGTATATGTGTATATATGTGTGTTTGTGTATATATTTGGTTTCCGACATGTGTTGTAATTTTTTTGCTTTTTTGGCTTTTTAAGTCTCCTTTGCTGTGTTTTTGGTGTTTTTATGAGTGATGGTCACTCGTTGTCCTGAGAGGTGTATTGTGTCCAAATTTGGTGTCAATTTGTCCAGTGGTTTTTGAGTTGTTAATCCCACAAACGAACATTACATTTTTATTTATATAGATTGGCCTCTTCATTTTGTTTATGAAAAGAATTCCACATTGTATTTGTCCTGCTTTTCTAATTGGGTCACTTTATGAATAGGAACCCCCCCCCCCCGGTGGCGCAATGGGTTGAGCCCTTGGGCCGGCAGGAGTGCTGACCGAAAGGCCAGTGGTTTGAATCCAAGGAGCGGGGTGAGCTCCCATCTGTCAGCTCCAGCTTCCCATGCGGGGACATGAGAGAAGTCTCCCACAGGATGTTAAAACATCCAGGCATCCCCTTGGCAATGTCCTTATAGATGTCCAATTCTCTCACACCAAAAGCAACTTGCAGTTTCACAAGTCGCTCCTGACATGAAAAAAAACTTTATGAATTATGCTTGCTAGCCTCCTTGCCAGTATGGACTTTTCTGTATTGGGAAGGGCAAAGGAGCAAATGACAGCAAAATCCTTCATTTTGTTTTCAGTTTGTCTCAGTTCAATAATAATAATAATAATTTTATTTGTACCCTGCCATCATCTCCCTGAAGGAGCCCCGGTGGCGCAGTGGGTTAAACCCCTGTGCCGGCAGGACTGAAGACCGACAGATCGCAGGTTCGAATCGGGGAGAGGTGGATGAGCTCCCTCTATCAGCTCCAGCTCCTCATGCGGGGACATGAGAGAAGCCTCCCACAAGGATGATAAAAACATCAAATCATCCGGGCGTCCCCTGGGCAACGTCCTTGCAGACAGCCAATTCTCTCACACCAGAAGCGACTTGCAGTTTCTCAAGTCGCTCCTGATACAACAAAAAAAAAATCTTCTGAAGGGGACTCAGGGAATTAACATGAGGCCAAGCCCAAAATTACAATACAGCAAAATAAAATACAAAGAAGCAAAAATAATATCAAAATAAAATACATGAAATAGCAAAATTAAAAAATTAAAATAAACAGTTACAAAATAACATGATAGAGAAATAGAACACAGTCCATAAAGGTCTATAAAGGTTAACAGCATCAAAGAGTTGTTGAATCAGGAAGAATAAACTGAACTAGAATTTAACTCAGACCTCCATTGCAATAATGCTTTTTAGGTTTGTGATGGTCCACCTCTCCGGTTGTGGAAATCCACAGTTGAAATCCCTGCAACTCCTGAAAACGTCTTAAGCCGTATTCTTAAAGAGCAGCATTTCTGGGATGAAGATCTTTTAGATGCAAAAGTGGTGGAGACTTTGGATAGCCAAACTGATGTTTACCAATATGTGCAAAACAGCATGGCACCACACCCAGCCAGAGACTATGTAGTTCTAAGGTAAACGTGTGAATTTTGCCTGCAATGTAGCAGAAACCTGTACTAAAATAAGTCTTTATACATATATTCAGTCATCTTTTTACTATGTGTAACTCCTCCCCACTTGATATTTCCATCCATGCAATGTGTCATTGGCCAGCATTATGTTAGTGATGTATGCATGTGTAAGTCGACACATGCAGGGGAAAATATTCATTACAGCAGAAAAGATGTATTCTGCTGATAGTGGCTGAAGAGGAGTTGTGCTTACAACATTGCACATTAAGATTTCAAGGTGTGCATTGCAGCTGTGCACTGCTCCTTACACAATGGCACTGAGTCATTGGCATGGGTTTTACAATGTTGCCTTTCTGCATAGAGATTATTTAGTACCTATATCTTTGCATGCAGATATTTATGTTACAATCACAATGTATTCACTTGCTGCAGATTGTGTTCAAAGATATCCAGAAACTGTTTTTTGTTCCTTAATAAAACTCAACTTGTTTCCAACAGGACTTGGAGGAAAAACCTATCTAAGGGAGCTTGTGCACTTTTAAGCACCTCAGTGGACCATGACCGTGCCCCAGTGCTCGGTGTCAGAGTGAACGTGCTTCTGTCCAGATACCTAATTGAACCATGTGGATCAGGAAAATCCAAACTCACTTATATGTGCAGAATAGATTTAAGGTAAATGCCATTTCATTTTTTGTCTTTCTCCATTATGTGAAAGCACTTGTCCTTATAGTTGCAGCCTTGCAACATGATAATTTGCAATGCATACCAGCGCCAACCAGCGCCAACTTGGCTATCCTTCCCTTTCCTGTATTGTATTCTGGAGAAGGATAACTCAGGAGTGGTGATGGATCTGAATCTATTTACAGTGGTTCCTTGTTATCCATTGAGGTTTGGTTTCAAGACCACCACCACCCATAGATACCAAATTCCTGCAGATGAAGTTTCATTAGATACACTGGTGTAATAAAATGGTGTCCATTATATAAATGTCAAAATCAAAGTTTACTGTATGGTTTATAAATATATTTAGAAGCCCTGGATGCAGAATTTGTGGATACGGAGGGCCAACTGTATTTGTATTTACTGCTTTAAAAAAACTCATGATTCCAGTGGGATATCCTTCATATTCCCCAAGAAGGACTCCCCAAGTATGCTGAATTTTCAAGCATTCATACTTGAAGGCTGCTTTTCCTGTTCTTCCAGATAGATTAGTACCCAAATCCATATATGTTGGGTTGCTGTGAGTTTTCCAGACTGTATGGCCATGTTCCAGAAGCATTCACTCCTGACATTTTGCCCACATCTATGGCAGGCATCCTCAGAGGTTGTGAGGTCTGTTGGAAACTAGGCAAGAAGACAGTTCAATATAATATATTATATAATAATAATAATAATAATCATCATCATCATCATCATCTTTATTTATACCCTGCCACTATCTCCCCAGTGAGGACTCGGAACGGCTTACATGGGGCCAAGCCCGGACAATATATTACAGCAAAATAGAAGCAAATCATAAACAACAAACAACATCATCAAAATTACATTAAAAAAGTATAACATAGTCATAAAATAACATTCCAATAAACACAATCACGATATACATGTAATATGTATTATAATTTAATACAATATAATACTAATAATAATACAATATTAGAATTATATATTTTATATTACATGTAATTTTACTAATAATATTACAATATAATGGTATAGTACAATATAGTAATATATAATACTAATATTGTACTATGCTAATAATATAATATATTATATGTGTATGTATGTGTGTGTGTATATATATATATATATATATATCTTGTAAGCTGGTCTGAGTCCCCTTTGAGGTGAAGGGCAGCATATTCATGTCGTAAATAAATAAATTGATGAGCATTGAAAGGCCATTATAGTATACTGTGTCCAGGTTGGTTCGTCAGGTGCTCTGCTATGACTGACTTCTCTGGTTGAATGTTCATTTGTGTTTGGTGGTACCTATGAAGACTTGTCCAAAGCTGCATAGTATACAGTAGACCCCTGCAGAGGTAAGAGGTGAGTGGACAAGTCTACATAGGGACCACCAAACGCAGCGCCCAACAGGAATCGAGGAACATGAACAGCAGTGTAGACTAATTCAACCAGAGAGAAGTGAGCCATAGCAGAGCACCCGATGAATTATCCTGGACACAGCATATTATTTGAGAACACAGAAATGCTGGACCACTCCAACAACCACCATGTCAGACTACACAGAAAAGCCATTGAAATCCACAAACATGTAGACAATTTCAGCAGAAAGGAGAATACAATGAAAAGGAACAAAATCTGGCTACCAGTATTTAAAGAAACCTCTAAAATCCGGACAGTAAATAAAGAGCAACACAAAAAATAGGGGAATTCGACATGAATAAATCAGGGCCATCTAATACCTCCCAACAAAGGATCCCCAGGCAGCAACCAACCAGGCTTTAAAGCTGCAAGGCCATTAAATGCTAATTAAGGTAACCAATTGCAACATTCACACTTGCCTCAAGTAGAGAAGAGTTCTTTCTCCCACTCCCGGGACACTCCACAGATATATAAACCTCACTTGCCTAGTTTCCAACAGATCTCTCGACCTCTGAGTATGCCTGCGATAGATGTAGGTAAAACATCAGGAAAGAATGCCTCTGGAACATGGCCATACAGCTCGAAAAACTCACAGCTATCAACCTATATTTGTTCTCAGAGTGTCTTTTCATTTTTCTCCCTTCAAATCGAGGTGACTGTTACCAGTTTCATGTGTTTGCTTTCTTTGAAACAGGGGACATAAGCCTGACTGGTACACAAAGGCTTTTGGACACTTGTGTGCGGCGGAAGTAGTCAAGATCAGAGACTCTTTCGTTAATCAGAATCTTGAGACTAAAGAAGCAAAATCAAGGTGACAAGTGAAACAATCCCACAATTCATTGGCATACACAGCTACTTTCAGGAACTGTTGGTGGTATGCTCCAGAATGGCTCGTAGTGGGGCCTGCTAAGGTCCTGAAGAAGGAGTATTTTGAATGGATCCGATATCTGTGCAAAACTCTGTGGCAATACCGTTCATTTTAAAGCTGCTTCGTCTTGATCTTAGGCCTATAGTGTAGGCCTTGACTGGAATATATTGGATGGTGCAACTAAACAAAAAGTAATATTATTCATTTGTTTTTTTGGAACAGTGTAATTTGCTTCTGAGAAGCAAAATTCTTATTAAGACCTAAATATATTTCTGGAATATAGTGGAAACGATTCATTCCTATATGATGTTAGATATGTGTGTCTGTGTCTGTGTGCCATTTCTCGAGGGACTGTTTCATCCACTGGATTTGTTGGCACTCTTCAATGGGTTCTTGCTAATGTAAGTGAAGGAAGGTTTGCACAGAGCCAGAGGTATGGACTAGAAGGCAGAGCAGTAAGTAAGTGTCAGAGTGTCCGGCACAGAGCAATTGGAAAGAGTAAAACATGTGAGGGGGGTGTTACCTTACAATCCTTATCTACAGATGATCTCAAGCTTCAGTTCTTTACTATTAGGGTTCAGTCTTTCTTGTGTGTTTCAAAAAAGGAAAACTGAGACATGACTTATTTGGCAGAGAAGGTAAAGACAGAATATCTGAAACTGGTGTGTTGCTTTGATGGAAGATATTTTTAAAATGCCCAATGGATTTCAACATATTTATTTTGCAGTGGCAGTAGTTCTGCACACGTTCCCATTTGAAAGCTTCCCCAGCATTTGCATTGTGCCCAGACAGATCTGAGCTTGCCATGGCAGGAAACTTGCATTATTCACAGCTTCCCCATGAGTTCCCTTGCATGAAATACAGATTTACTGTGAAATTTCATATTTTTCGGTATTCACTTAAAATATCATGGATATACAGATGTACCTCAGTTCATAAAGCATATGTGTTTCCAAGCATTGCTTTTTTATATAAAATACTTGGTACGAATGGCAGAAATAACATAAAAAGAACAGAGATAGTTTCCTAATGTTACGGGAAACTACCCAAAAATATAGCAGAGCATCCAAAATACAAACGGGATACTAAAAATTGAGCAATCAGCTCACAGCAAAGCAAAGTGTGATGTGCTGTTGGATTTGACTGTAAAGAAATTAGAGCTTATGCAGGCAAAGATGCTGAGTACAGTCTTATATAATAATAATAATAATAATAATAATAATAATAATWATWATWATWATTGACACAAATARACAGTATGTCACAACAAACGAGATCTATATGCTTGATTTCGTATCACAAAATCACAAGTCGAACACTTCCCAAGCGTCTAGGACTGTGTGATGTATTTTCGAATGATGCGTGCAGATCCAAGTAAGGTGGCCTTTTGCAGTTGACAGATCATGATTTTGTCAACGTTTATTGTTTCCAAATGCRGGCTGAAATCTTTTGGCACGGCACCCAGTGTGCCGATGACCACTGGGACCACCTGTACTGGTTTATGCCAGAGCTTTTGCATCATCATCATCATCATCATTATTATTATTATTATTATTATTATTATRATRATRATRATRATCATCACAAAAGGATTATTTACAGAGATAAGAATAATAACTACATTTCTTAGTAGGTTTAGTTCCAGCAAATATTGGGCAGCATCCTAAAAAGTCTCCTGTCTGATTGAAGTTTATACACAGCTATAGCTTCAGATTTAATAGGTGAAACCCACTTGGGCTGGTGCTACTCGGAAGCAGTCACCTTCCATTGAATGGGAAGCAACTCACTTCCAGTGGCATGTGTCCTAAAGCCTTTATAAAAAGAAGCTTCACTCTCAGATGCCTTGTTAACTGAGGTATGCCTGTAACACTCCAAAATCTTAAATATGCTTAAGTTGGCACCACCCAAATTTTAATGGTCTCAGAGATAGTGACTCAGAACTATGGCTGTCTCTATATATAAATATTATATTTATATGTATATAAATATTGGGCTTTTTGTTTTGCCTGATGTTTGATTCCCTTTGCCCCACTCATAAATATATACTTATTATATACTTTACCCTAGCTAAAGTAACAAGCAGGAGTCTTTCTGAGTGCCTCTCATACAAGAAACAGAAGACACAAGAGTAGAGGTGAAATTCTATCCAGTAGCTCAAAAACAGCACTGGATATTGTCATAAGTGGATGATTTTGAAGTTCAAAAAAGATTAGGCATAATGGGTGCTGTTAGAAAAGTCCAAAGCTATTCATATATTCCACTACAACAGTAGTTCCCAACCTTTTTTTGACCAGGGACCACTTTGACAAGGGACCACTCTCCAACATTAGTACCAAAAGGGTTACGAATCAGTTTTTGGACAACTTTAGATTCAGTTTGGTTATTTGGGGCGCTGATTCAGAAAATTGCATTGGATAGACCACATCAGCTCTAGTTTCTGATTCAAAACATAATACCATCCAGTAGTCGCCATCTCCTTACCCACAGAAAACCGTATTTAATAAGCCTCAGCACTATAAGAGGATTTTGTGAGATCAGTCACTCTCGTTGCAACGGTGTAGTAACTGAGGCCGCAGACCATATTTTAGTTCTTGTGGACCACTGGTGGTCCATGGACCACAGGTTGGGAACCACTGCACTATAACTATATAACCTCATTTATTCACATGGTTTGGATAAAAACTTCCAGAATATTCAGAAATTCCGAAGTTTTGATTGTTAATAAAAGAGTATTGTTTGCTGCCATCAGATAATGTGACACAGTGCAAAGGACTACAAGTTAGGGTGAACAAGGGCTTCAAAGGATGAGGCATTCCGTTGTCCAAGTGAGTAACCCTTAAAGGAAAATCCAGACCTATAAACTATTCATATATCCTACGTCAGCCAGGTTAGCAATAAGAAATCAATTACAATATTTGGGCAGATATTCAGAGAATTTTATTGTTGTATTGCTTTTCTGTACAATATCAAGTGTCATCAAATCTAATTGTTTTTAAAAAATGCATGGAGCAAAATATTTCCCATACTTCCCAAAGGTTCTTGGTGAGGTGTGGCGATGATGATGGTTCTGTCACAGAACTGTGATAATTTTTTTAAAAATGTGCAAAGTGGGAATAAAATACAGTTTTCCCTCACTTATCGCGGGTATTATGTTCCAGGACCACCGACCATATGTGAAAATCCACAAAGTAGGGACAAGGCGTAAGACCGTTCCCTCCTAGGAGTGGCTCTGCCCACTCTTCTCTCCCCCTACACTCACTCAATCCTTTTGCCTTCTCTTTCCTCTCCTCTTTCCCCTTCCCTTCCTCCTTCCCTCATTCCTTTGCACACCACACTTCCCGCTGGCTCCTCCTTGCATGCCTGGGTCCCCCTGCCCTCCTCCCCTCCTCTTTCCCCGCTCGTGCATGCCTTCTTCACCCTCTATTCCTCCTCTCATGGCTCCCCTCACCCATCTCCCTGTCAGTACAGTGGCTGCGCTGGGAAACATGACGTTGGAGGGGTGTGTGGGTCCTCAGGTAACGGGTGAGATGAGGGAGCTGAGGACTGAGAGGAAGTTGCGGGAGAGAAGGAAAGAGCTGTCAAAGAAGGCAAGGAAGCAAGCTCTCCTTACCTTTTCCTTTGCCAGGTGACTGTCAAAGAAGACAGTCAAAGAAGAGTGAGAGAGTGAAGGAAAGGAAAGAAAGGCCCTTCAAGGCTGGAGGGAGGGAGGACTGAAGAGGGAAAGCGCAAGTACTGCAGAAACCCGCAAAACAGCAAACAGTGATACATACTTTAAATTCATATTTATTGTAAAACCACGAAACAGCAAGTCCACGACAAGCGACCCGCGAAGTAGCAAGGGAACACTGTATGGCCCACTTGTCCCAACCTGAGCATTTGAGAATATTCTTTGGGAGAACATCATCATGAGGTCAAATGAGCAAAATACTTGGTCATATAAAAACTGTTGTCTTGCAGTTCAGTGGTTAGGATGTGCCCCAAAGAAAGACGTTGACCCTTGCTGTGAATCTTATCTCCACCCACCCAAAATCCCAACATGACAGTCCTGCGTAAGGATTCCGCTTTGGTGTAAAGATGCAGTATTAGTGTAGAGATGCACTGAACCAGTGTGAGTAAGGAGTGAATGTAACATGGACAGTACTTTGTTTGTGTATTTGTGTGACGTCAAGACTTCCTACAGAATATCTGTTCTAATCGAAGTTCTCACAAGTTTCCTGAACCGCTGCCTTTTTTGCCCTTTCTGCTCTTCTCCCTCCAGCCAGAAATGATTGCTGATACTTGTATTAAAGACAGTGTGAAAAACTGGGTGATTGGTTCCATCTTGCTGATTCACATAAAGGAAGTGTGTAACCTCGATGTTTTTCACCTTTCCTTATCTTCAGGCAGAGGCATGGCTGGAACCAGCCCTTTGTGTTACCATTTTCAGTGTTAAGTGTATATATCATGTGTGTGATGAAGAATTGTGGTGTTTTAAGATGTGATGTACTAGCAATCCTTGCAATAGCACTATTATTGTGTGCCCTGCTTTTTTAATGTCGGTATCGCATGTTACTTGCTTTTCACGTGTTCCTCTATGGTCAGGCTCTGCTCTTTGTATGTTACAGCTCATCATGCTTGTTCAGATCTGCTCAGGAGCAGGGAGACCTGCAATGAAGAACATAGGAGAATCTAGGGCACCTCCTTGTATGTTAACCTACTTACACCAGTGGTTCTCAACCTGGGGTCCCCAGATGTTTTTGGCCTTCAAGTCACAGAAATCCTAACAGCTGGTAAACTGGCTGGGATTTCTGAGAGTTGTAGGCCAAGAACATCTGGGGACCCCAGGTTAAGAAGCACTGACTTACACCTTAGCCAAGTTAATTTGTTTTCATTCACAATTCCAAAAATTCCCATTAGCATGTCTGCCACCATGTTGACGAGTGGATTCCTAGTGGGAGAAAAGTAGCATTGCCAACTTTTCAGTCTACTTGCTGTAAGAAAAAAATATGGAATAAAATTCTTATATTTTCTATTTTTCTCTGGACATCCAAGCTTCTCTATAAGAAATCGAGAGATGAAGCCCTTTGTGGACCACACTACCCAGATGTGGTCCACAACATCCTCACAACATTAGCCTAAAACATTTACTGGGCAACAAATCCATTTTGGTAACTATGAAGCTCACTACCAGGCAAATTGTGTTAAAGATTGCACCGTATAGTATTTCGCATCACTAGGGAAACTGTATTCTTTGTATACTTTTTACATGTTTAAATGTGTACAAAAATGTATGTTGTATATACCATCTGTTGTAAGCGTGTATACGTGTTCACACTTTATTGTCCAACATAGATAAAGCATGAAAGTAATTATTTAAAATATACATGTATTTATACCTCAGATACTCTCGGGGGGGGGGGGGGAGCAGGATGTTTGTACCTCAAGTTGTCTATCCTTCCCCCCTGCCATGTAAA